TGAGGACACCGTTAAGCTGGATGATCTAGACAATAAAAGTATAGACGCCCTTAATAGTGAACTCACCTCCACCATCTTAGATGCTGCGAAGAAGAGCATCCCACAGGGGTGCAGAACCAACTATAAACCCTTTTGGAACGAGCGCTTGGAGAAAGCTACAAAAACTAAAAATGATGCCAGACACGAATATGAGAAAGATCTAAAAAATATGGACAAGAAAATTAGATACAAAAAGGCCGTAGCAGAGGCTAAACTTGTTACCAAGGAATCTAAGAAGGAAGCCTGGACGCAGAATTGTGAGGGACTCAATTTACATCAAGGTGGACTTGAAGCTTGGTCACTTCTAAATAACCTCACTGGCGAAAAAAGGAAAGAAAACCCCAAACCACTACACACAGAAACCGAAGTTCTCACCAGCGAGTTAAAAAAAGCCGAACACTTCAATAAACATTTTGCCCCCATTAACAAGAGCAGCAAAAGGAATGACCTGGACAGGGGTCTACAGAGTGTTCTGAAATGAAAAGAGAGAGAGATTTGATGACACCGAGTATCTTCCAGGACTTCTTAATTAACTAAGCGAGAGTTGGACTGTGCAATCAAGAAACTAAAGAAGCGAAGAAGCCCAGGTCCTGACAAAGTACACAACGAGATGCTACAAAACCTTGGTGAAAAAGCCAAATTGCTACTTCTTAAGCTCTACAACAGAACATGGACCGAGGGAAATCTGCCTAAAGCATGGAAACTAGCTACTATAAACCCAATCTTACAGAAAGGAAAGAAGGCCAAGGACCCTAAAAACTACCGCCCAATATCACTTACGTCCTGTATTGGCAAGCTCTGTGAAAGAATCCTCAATTCTCGTCTTTATTGGTGGCTTGAGTCTTCAGGTCTGATATCATAGTGTCAAGCAGGGTTCAGGTCAAAAGGCAGGACAGTAGACCAGCTCTTCAGGCTCACACAGAAAATCATTGATGGATTTCAAAGAGGGGAACAGACAACGGCTGTGTTTGTGGATCTCCAACAAGCCTACGATAGAGTGTGGAGGAAAGGACTACTCTTATAACTGCAGAACATGGAATCAAGGGAAACATGTACTCCTGGATTAAATCATTCCTTACAGATAGACTTATCCAGACCCAGATGGATGAAACCCTATCTTTAAAAGCAGTACTGGAGGAAGGACTCCCACAGGGATCTTCTATCAGCTGTACCTTATTCCTTGTCTTCCTCAATGATGTTTCAGATGTTCTCAAAACAGAAAAAGCCCTTTTTGCTGATGACCTGGTCCTTTGGCACACTGGAAACTCGACAACAATAAGCAGACGAAGACTACAAGATGATCTAAATTCCCTTGGAACCTATTGCCGTTTATGGAAGATGAAAGTAAATTGCGAAAAAACTGTCTACTCTGTTTTTACGAGAAGCTATAACCTTGCAAATGCAGAAATCCCTCTCAAAATAGATGGTACCAACTTGAAAAAGGAGAATAACCCAGTGTATCTTGGAGTACAACTTGACAGCAAGCTCAACCTGAAACAACACACCAACAACCTTAGGAAGAAGGCTATGAAGAGACTTAATCTCATCAAACGACTTGCCAGTACCAACTGGGGATCAGACAAGAACACCTTGAGAGGCCTCTATTTGGGATATACCAGAGCTGTTTTTGATTATAATCTTGTTCTACAAAACATTTGCAGTAAAACTTCAAAGAACTCAATGGACACCATCCAAAACCAAGCTCTTCGTCTTATCTCTGGCGGAATGAGATCCTCACCGACTGCGGCCTGTGAAATCCACACAAATATTGAGCCATTAGAAACTCGAAGAAAACAGGCAGCTTTAGAAGTATATGAAAGATCTAAAAGGCTAGAAAATAACCACCCTAACAGAGTCCTTGTTGACAAGTGGAAACCTAATCAAAGACTAAAAAATACAAAATCTGTACTTGACACCGTTCTCAATCTCCAAGAAAAACATCACCTCCCTGAAAGACGAGAACCTCTGGAAAGAGTTCCCTCAACTCTCCCACCACATTTCACCATAGCAAAGCCAGAAATTAGGAAAACACTTTTGGACAAGAGCAATAAAAACACATATCCTGTAGTAATAAACATTCTGCCCTTGAAACAATTGATTCCTATCCACCAACATGGATCCACTCATACACTGATGGATCTGCCTTTAAGGCAACAATCAATGCTGGATATGGGTCAGTGATCAACTTGCCCAGTGGGATAAAAAAAAGAAGTCTTCAACTCCAGCGGGTCCGTCTGCTCCAATTTCATTGCCGAACAACAGGCTATCACCAACACAGCAAACTACATCAACTACTTGTTTGACACTAACCCACTTGCTACCACTGACATCGTTATATTTACAGACAGCCTTTCAACACTAGAGACACTTGAGAGTGGGACTGATGTGAACAAAGATATATTGCATTTGATTTGGAGTCTACATAACTTGATAAGTAGGCACCACGTCAGAGTAGTCCTTCAATGGATTCCTGCCCACACTGGGATACCGGGAAATGAAAGAGCTGATGCTCTGGCAAAGAAAGGAGCTAGCCTCCCTCAGCCTGAAATTCCTACGAATTACACCACCTGCTGCCAAATGATCAAGTCAAACCTCAAGGAAGAGTGGATGAATGATTGGGCCACAGGTACGACAGGAAGGAGGATGTATGGCCACATGAATAAACCACTGGTCAAAGATCCAATCAATGAGTTGAGGAGGGTAGATCAATCCATAATCTTCCAACTTATAACACAACATTTACCCCTCAACCAACATCTCAACCGAATTGGAGTAAAGCAGTCTGCTGCCTGCCCACTATGTGACTACCCCTCAGAGACAGTAGAACATCATCTGTTCTTCTGTAGAAAACTAACTGATTAAAGGGGATGTTTTCTTCACAAGCTATCCCACACATCAAATTGCCTCTACTCCTCAAGACAACAATTAGAACAAACATGCAACTATTACCGAATGGCATCATGCAGAAGAGTTAACGCTCAGATGCTACTGGATCGCTAACAACAACAACAACAACAACAAAATGTATGTGGTTAGGAATTACACCAATTGCACATGTAGACTTTGCGGTGTATTCCACCTTCCAATTTGACCCTGATTGCCATGCCCACGAAGTCCCCTTGATTTACAAATCTACCCCTACCCATCGGTACTGCACAAATTCCAGTACTGACCCCTTCACCATGATCTGAATCACTATTAGATGAGTCTAATTCCTGTTCATTATCATCCACAACGGAATTTACGGCACTTGATTCAGAGTCACTTTCATTGAATTAGTCTAATTCCCCCCTCATAACACAGCACCACTTCTTGAAGTACTTCGACGGTCTTGAAAGTGCGTTTTAGAGACATTTTTCTAGCTTCTACGCCCATCAAAAACATAGAAACCACTGTTCACTGGAAAACTGAAATATTCAGACAGAGCATCACCATATTTGTATATTTTGGTAATCACAAGCAGTTTACTCGAAGCCCGGTCTAGTCCTTGTTACCAGTATACTCGTAGCCCGGATAAAAAGAGTTAAGACACTGTCCATGCAATACATGTAACAGACTATTTTGTCATCATCTAGAATAATTTTTCCTGTGAATTTCGGTTTATGAAATATGGAAAGGCAGTCTAAAATATTCCTTCACTGTTTTACTCTGCTTTTCTCAGGAGAGACAAAGAGTGGAAACAAAATTGTTCAGATACTATTTTTGCTTTGGTACCCTGTGCACTGAATGCTTTAGAACCCAAGTCATTAGGCAAAAACGCAAGATAAAAAAAAAGACCAATTAGCAAAAATGACATCTTTACCTTAAACTGGGGAAACCCCCCCCACATCTATGCAAAAAGCCCTTTTCCATATGTGACCTGAACAGACGTCAAGTTCCTAGAATATAACCAATTAACCACAGAAAATTGTACCCCTGTTTCAAACACTTCCAGTTTAAAATTCTGCTTAAACACTGTACATTTGATGAAGTCCTAAACCATTTTCCTTCAACATCACTACCACTGCATTGATTATATGAGATGCGAGTGCAGTATTTTTTATAAAACTATTTTTAAAAAATCCAGAACAATATTGCACAGCCTGAGGTCACAAGAAATGATCTATTTCAGTATTATGATTAATTATTCTATCTACTGCATGATGCCTATGCTATGAGGAAACCTTGAGAAAGTATTTTTCTGTTGTTATTTCACTTGAAAGGACAATTATACCATCTTACCCATTTACTACAACTCTGTGCATCTTGTGAATCAATCTGAGATCACAGCTCTTGACTGCAAGTCGGTGGCAGATTTTGCACTTCTGAAACACAAAATGAAGTTGAAAACTCCTATTAAGTGGGTGTACTGCTCTTTGTAAGGCTGTATAATAATATCATCACTAAATGATTGTCACCTAGTGGATCTAATACTCTTTGTAAGTTTTCTACTGAGAGTCAACCTGTACTTCTAACTAAAGACAAGACAAAACTATCTATTCTCTAAAATTTATCCTTCTCCTCCTTACCAACATATTAACAAGAAGAAAAAAAAGATTGTCACAAGACGTTGAAAACATCAAAGGTGGGTATCAACCTGGATGGTTGGTGGGTGCTCTGGTGTGGTTTGTGCCTCCTTTCCTATCAAACATCCATAGAGTCCTTATCTATACTCCTTTGTTTTTGTTACCCTCTTGTAACATCTCTAGTCTTTGGCACATACAATGGAACTTGGATTCAACGAAGTCGCCGGGCCTGAAATTCAATTTCATAAAATACGAATGTTTGTTGTGGCAAACATGAGGTTTTTGTGTAGATAATTACAGGCATTGAACAATTAATGTATAGAATACACAGCGGCAATACAAACTTTCCATTTGGAGAGAAGCCTGTATTGTGCTTACTATTCAACTTATAAAAACAAAAATCGACACAGACATAGTTCAAAGTATGTCAAGAAGTGTATTACCTTTTGTTTCTTGATCATGTCTCATATGATGGCACAGTATTAAGCATAAACTGGTACCCCTTGATTTCAAAATTTCACATCAGTAGCAGGTAGGCCTACTGTCGCCCCTTGCAATGATGAAAGCTTGGTAAGTTCTGTGAATAGATCGAGTCAGTTTTTTCTTCTTTTTTAAATTGATGGTTGTGGCAGTCCATTCCATTCTTGAATCAATGCTTGTCCGAGCCATTGTACAATGTTAATGTTGTTTTGGGAGCTCACTTTTAGGCCCACAGGGTGACTCGTGTTGTGAGTACGCCAGCAATGGCAAAACATTCACATTTTACTGCTGTATATTATATTTGCACCTTTACACATGCACTGTGTGAGCGTGCATTGTCTTGCTGAAATGTGTACATACGTCTATGGGTTTGAAAGAAGGGAACCAAGTACATCAGGAGAACATTCTGGTACTCGTTGGCATCGACCGTAAGGTTGAAAATGTGTGGCTAGGTTCTGTGGTTGGAAGATATTCAGTCCCACATCATCACACTACCACCACCCCATCTGTCTATTTCATGCATGCAGCAATCCGCTGGTCTCTCTCTCTTTAACTTTATGGCTTGAAACTCTCCGAGAAGAGAACTGCATCCCTCACGAATGTAACGATTTGCCCAGTCAATTTAGGCGTAATTCTTGGAAAGATGGCAAACGTTGGTCATTATAGGGCCCCCTTACTCGATGTCTGAATGTGTTCTAACGCTGTTGTATCCTTCTTTCGCAGTTAACTCTTCCAAAGTCTTTTTTTCGTAAGAGTTTTACGGCACTCACAATGTCTGTATGAAATTGATGTCCAGAGCTGGTTGTTGTGAGAGAGCCATCTCGAAGATGCCAGTGCAGTATCAACCTGTCTTCTTGGGCAGTATCAACCTGTGGTCTGCCTGGTCTGGGTCTGTCAGGTGAAACTACAGTGACTTGGAAATTATCTTTCAGAAGTATATTGATGGTAGGATGGGAGCAATGAAGCATCCACACCACTCTGCGGGCTGATAGTATAGCTTGGCGTACTCAAATTACCCAACAGCGCTCCTCGGGGCTTAACCTTGGCAGTTTGTACAGCAATTTAAGTCAACACAAACCAGCTTGAATGTGTATGTAATTTGCTTTTCTGGTTCTAAAATTGCTAATGTGTTGATCTAAACACAATTTAGATGATTTCATAATTTTGTCGGAACATGAGTCACAAAACATGTTAATTCACATGTGGGCTACGTGACCACATGGTTAAATTTTTGTTCAAGAAAAAGATCCGTAAGGAGTAATCGTTGGATACACGATGAGTGATGTGCAAAATTTTACTCACTAACTCACGTGAACAAGGGCGCAGTTACAAAAAACAAAGTGGAAAGTCTCTAAGGCTGCTGGGTATATATAGTTAACTTCCTTGGTCAAAATCAGTTTGGTGTCAAATGAGAGGCATTTTTGTTTCTTCGATGTCAGACCGAAGAAATGCTGGAAAACTCTAGGAAAATACACTGAACTCTAATTTAATAAGCAAATGCTGTGCCAAAGGTCCAATTAGTTCCAAAGCACACATGTGTCATCTGTCATCTATAACGTATTATTTGCTGAACAAATTGCGTTGCTGTGTAGAGCCTTGCGCACAGCAATCTTTGAGTCCACAGACCAGTGCACAATTCATTATGTAGATCTAGATTCTATGTCAAGGGACTAGCTTATCACTGTAATATTGATCAGTAGCCTGGGGGAAAAATGACTGCGAGTACTGTGATGCATTTGCATCTCTACTGATTGATTACTGACCTTCCACGCCAGAACCGCTTGCGCCCCCTCCCCTTAGACAAATGCATGTGCGCTCGCACACACACACACACACGTACAAACACACACACACACAGAGAGAGAGAGAGAGAGAGAGAGAGAGAGAGAGAGAGAGAGAGAGAGAGACACACACACACACACACACACACACACAGTTGTTGGTATGAAAGAAGGCCGCTGTTTGGTCACACAAGATATAAACAATACGATAAGTGAATAATGGTTCATGATGCAGACACCATGGATGGTTTCCAGGATCGAGTTTGTTGCGAGAGAAAAATGAGCGAAGCCTCATCAGCGGGGCTATTCCCCTTGCAAGCGACTTTGTTGAATCCGAGCTTGTTCACTTATAGATTCTATTTGTTCATTGAATCCCAAGTTATTTTCATTGATTTTAATGCATAAATACAAAGGAGGAATCCATCTCCTTTCGTTGAATCCAAGCTTTCACTGAATCCAAGTTCCACTGTATATGACCACATTGTGTTAAAAGTGTCAGAAAACGCTTACTAAAACAGAGCTATCAACACCTGAGACTATGCAAGGGAATGCAGAAGAGGTTCAAGTAGGAAGTAGCACAAGAAAGCAGAAAAAGTGAAAATAAGAAGAAAGAGGAGAGATGGAGAAGGACAGGTAGTAAGAATAGTAAGAGGAGAAGGTGAAAAACACAAAATTAGAAGCAGAAAAGGAGCTTACAAACTCAAGAATTCTTTCAGGTACTTGAGTCACATCGCTTGTGCTGCTCAAAGCCTTTATATCAGGTTCCAGCTCCATTTCAATGAACTGCTTCACCTTCCTCTCAAATTCTTGTCTTTTTTGCCCTATGTCTTTTAAGGCATTGTTCATCAAGACAGCCTTTTCTCTGTTCAAGTAGTCCCGCGGTCTATCTTCAGGCATTGCCATCAACACAGACACTCCATTGAACTGTCGACAGCGCCCTAAAAAAACAAACCCAAAGTCTTGAAGAAGATGTCTCCCTTTTGATTAGCACTAGGAGTGTACGCAATTCTAGAATTACAAAGTTCTATCTGACATTATTGGCCGTTTTGAGTTATTAAGATCATGAGGTCAGAAACCAAACGTTCTTTCTGCTCTATCAAAATTGTAAGATTATTCAGAGTCATTATCAAGATATTCAAAGAATTGCACACGAAAAAGCTTGACATGTCGTGAAACTCGAAATTTTCAAAGTCAAATTTCTCAAAACTAGGTACTGAGCAGATAGAACTTAGTAATTCTTGGTTAGGGTACATTCAGTTCTGCTTAGAAACAAATCAAGTGAAAATTCATATATCAATGAATGCATGAGAAGCAAATAAGGAACAGCCTTTAAGACATTTGAATGCTGTCTCTGTCATGACTGCTCTTCAGTATCCTACTAAACAATACAGACAGAATGTACTCACCCAAGTGGAAACAAAACTTTCATCCACTAATCCACCCAAAAATCTATTTTATGCAAAACTATTAATTCTATACATAAGCTTGAGGGTGGTTGGAGGGTGCTCTGGTGTGGTTTGCTCCTTCTTTCCTATCAAACATCAATTGTCTTTCTCACTCCTCCTTTTTTGTGTTTGTTACTCTCTTGTAACACATCTAATCTTCAGCACTAGTATGACCTTGTTGTATTGTAAGTGCTGTAAAACTCTTACAAAAACTAAAAAGACATAAGCCCTCTTTTCAACAAAGTTTCACTTAATACCTACTCATCTTTTCCCCTGTATTAAAAAGAAAACATATGAAAAAGATTCTAAATTTACTTATTATGCTTATCATATCAAATGTAACATCATCTCCTCTTGCAGAAAAGTATTTTTGGCTCAAAATTATACAGAACCCTTCCTTCCTAGAAAAAAAAGTTCAATAAACTGTCAAGAAAAAGTCAGTTTTACAGATATATTAACAAAAACAGTTTATAATTACTGCTTTCAGGTTAGTTGTATATTCTATAACCTCTATGTGAAGAAATTACTTTCATCCATTCATCATCATCATCATCATTGCCTCTCTCCCCCTGGATCAGGATATAGGCCCCGATCAAACACTTTTCACCTTTCACTATCCTGGGCTAGTCGCTTGATGTCACTCCACATCTTCCCACTTTTCTGTACATCCATTTCCGCGACTTTTTTCCAGGTTCCATGTGGTCTTCCCCTTGAGCTTTTGCCCTGAGGGTTCCAATCTAACACTTTCATTTCCTTGTCACGCAGCTGCTTGACTTCCTGAAAGTGTGTCCAATCCATTGCCAATGTCTTCTTTCCACCTCATCTCCGACAGGCCTCTGTCTTGTTCTTCTTAATACTTCCTCATTGGTGATCCTGTCTGTCCATTTGATTCTCAGTAGCTTCCTCAGACACTTGTTTAAGAAAACCTGGATCCTCTTTATGCATGTCTGGGATGCGTTCCATGTCTCACATCCATACAACAAGACTGACTTCATATTTGAGTTGAAAATTCTAAGCTTTGTTCGTAGTGAGATATCCCTGGTCCTCCAAATCCTGTTCAAAGAAATAAATGCAGTCTGTGCCTTTCCAATGCGGGACTTTATTTCAGCGCCTGTTCCTCCCTCTCTGTCAATTATACTCCCAAGATAGCAGAAGGATTCGACGTCTTCTAGTGCATTTCCTTGTACTATGACCTGCTCCTTTTGTAGTGCATCTATCCTTAGGACTTTTGACTTTCCAGGTGGATCCTCAATCCAACAGACTCTGATAGGCTGTTTAAAATTGTTGTCTTTGCTTGCATCTGTTCCTGAGTGTGTGACAGAAGCGCCAAGTCATCTGCAAAGTCCAGATTGTCCAACTGTGTGCATGAGGTCCACTGTATATCGTTTCTGTGTCCTCTGGTGGTTTCCTTCATTAGCCAGTCAATTGCCAAGACAAAGAGGAACGGTGATAGTAAACATCCCTGTCTCAAACCGGTCTTGATGTCAAAGCTGTCAGTGAGCTGGCCATCATGTATAACCTTGCAACTTGTCCCTTCGCACATGCTCCTGATGAGGTTAACCAACTTCTGTGGGATTCCATGATGTCTCAGTATCTTCCACAGTGCAGCTCGGTCCATGCTGTCAAAGGCCTTCTCATAGTCAAGAAAGTTGATGATCAACTGGGAGTTCCACTCCAGGGACTGTTCCACTATGATCCTCAAGAGTGCAGAAAAGATATACTAAATAACAGAAATGTATTTGAGGGAAGTAGATGAGAACATAGTTCCCTGTCCCTTGCTTATAGTCATACTGATTCCACGGTGATGTGACATTGGGGATCAAGGACTGGTGATGGGTCTCATTTAAATATTGAGAAATGCCTAAGCGTCTCAAACAGCTTCTCCCAATCCAGCCAACCGTACCTGCCCCTGGTGGTCCCTGTCCTCACTGACACGGCTCTGGCGAATGGCGAGTTGTTGGCGCCAACAAACCAACCCCCCCGTTTCCTAGAGGGGTTAAAACAACAGGATGGGAGCAGGTGTGGCCCCACAAGGTGCAGGAGGCAGAACCCACCGATGCGTGGTAGACGCTATGCTCCTCACTAACACGCTCCTACTCTCCCTTGAGTGGGTGTCTAATCTGCCTAACACCTCTACTACTTTTATCAACACACCCTCTGTGGTTGAGAAGGTACCAGCCAGTTTGAGAGTGTCTGGGTGCAGGGGATGGACCGAGCAGAATGCCTGACTTGCTTTCTGGCCGTGAAACCTCTTAGTAAAGGCACAACGACCCAGGACGTGACGATCCAATGGCTTCCCCACTTGGCCAATACCTCATGAAAGAGTCGAAAACCTTAGCCAGTAGCCATTGGTGGCGGGGAATGGGCAACGTGAACCCTACCGGAATTACACGGTCACAGGGCAGTTAGGTCTTTCCAGTCTCTTGAAAACTCTTAGTACCCTCCTATCCTCAACATGAATGGCCCCTTTTCAGGGTGGGCAGACAGTCCACAAACACCCCACTCCACAATGCCATGACACAAAGAAATAAATTACATGCGAGCTCGGGCGTCGCCTCGTTAAACAAGGTCCGCGCCAGGCAGCGCAATCATCAGGCTGCTCTGAGCGACAAGTCAGCTACTGGTGATACACACAGAAACAGTGCTAAACCAGCACCGAAAATCTCTCGGCGTGAGAAGGGAGCAAACTACATCCCCAACCAGAAGAAGAGTTCCCTCAACCTCTTGCAACTCAACATCTGTGGTTTGAGGAACAAGAAAACAGAACTCCTCAAAGTACTGAAGGACAGACAGATTCATGTTGCCCTCCTTCAAGAAACCCTACACAAAGGTACGGACCTGAACCTCACAAGATACACCAGTTATGCCTGCACATGCACAGGATGCCGCGGTGTAGTCACTTACCTGCGAAACGATGTACTGGGAGATGTTGTACACTTATCATCTGCCCAACCGACAGATATCCAGAAGGCCACCATATGGCACATTGGTAGGAAGTACACACTTTATAATGTTTACAGCCCCCCACAGACAACATGCGACTTGTCTGATCTGCAAGCAGCCAGCTACGAAAAAACCATTTGTGCGGGTGACTTCAATGGTCACTCTCCAGAATGTGGCTACGTCAACTATAACGGCACAGGCCGAAAGATTGAGGAGCTGTGCGAAACCAGCAACCTATCTGTATTACAAGATGTCAACTCAACTCCTACCTTACTTCACATAGCCCACTTGACTCTCAGCCGGCCTGATCTCACCATCTGCTCATCCGACATTAAAAACTCCTGTCGCATCGAAGTGATTGATGACATAGGAAGTGATCACAGGCCTATCTTTATACAGATCACCTCCCCACCTGCATTGAACCACCCTCGGAGAACTCGATGGAACTTTAAGAAAGCCAACTGGGCAGAATACGAAAAGACCTCAGACGAATTGCTCTCCAGCATAGAAGAAACAGAAGATGCTGATCTTTTTAATGAACAGGTCACCGAAAATATTCTGAAAGCTGCATCTCAGCACATTCCACGGGGATGCCGAAGAAATTTCAAACCCTTTTGGAGTGAAGAAATCCAAACTGCTGTGGCAGAAAGAGAGAAAGCCAGACAGTCATTGGAAAAATCACCATCAACAATAAACAAAATACACTACAACAAAACCTGCGCTCAGGTGAAAGTGACAGTAAAAAAACCCAAAAAAGAGAAATGGACTCAAACCTGCAAAGATCTCGACCTCTGCCACAATGGAACAAAGGCTTGGTCCCTTGTCAGCAACCTCTCGGGAGAAAGACAAAAAAGCAACCCCAAACCCTTTTTCCTTTCAGGCAGCACCATCACTGAAGACCAGAAGAAAGCCGAACATTTCAACCGTTTTTTCGCCTCTGTAAACAGGGCAGGCAGACTAATCGAGGCTGATAGACTTCTCATAAATAGGGCTAAGCATAAAGAAAAAGCTCCTACTGTGAACAACTCGCTTTTTGAAGAGGATTATAGCATGGTGGGACTCAGTCAGGCCCTCAAAAAGCTAAGGGAAAAGAAAGCCCCAGGACCAGATAAAATACACAACGAAATGCTGTGCCACCTTGGTGCTAAAGGAAAAGAAGTTCTCCTTTCCCTGATAAACACCACGTGGAGAACGAGTGGAATACCAAAGGCATGGAGGATCGCCCAGATTACACCACTCCTGAAAAATGGAAAACCACCTGGAGAAGCGAAAAGCTACCGACCCATCTCATTAACATCATGTATCGGTAAGCTTGCGGAAAGAATGATAAACAACCGCCTCTACTGGTACCTGGAAAATACTAACAGCTTAAACCCACACCAAGCAGGCTTCAGAAAAGGCAGCAACACAGAAGATCAACTTTTTAAACTGAGTCAAAACATCCAGGATGGATTTCAGGAGAGTAAACACACCGTCGCCATCTTTGTAGATCTCCAACAGGCGTACGACAGAGTGTGGAGAAAAGGCCTACTCATGAAATTGATGGACCTCGGGATACATGGCAAACTTTACAAATGGATCAAGTTCTTTCTGTCGGATCGAAACATTGAAACCAAGGTAAACAATGCCCACTCGTCAAGAGAAGTACTCGAGGAAGGCCTACCTCAAGGTTCCTGTCTGAGTTGCACTTTGTTCCTGATCTTCTTTAATGATGTAACGAACGTGCTGAAATCAGAAAAGACGCTTTATGCCGATGATCTTGCTCTCTGGCAGACACATCACAGCACGATAGTAGGAGCAGGGAAATTAAATGAAGACCTCAAGAGGCTCCATAATTACTGTCAGAAATGGAAACTTAAAATAAACTGCACGAAAACAGTATACACCATCTTCACGAAGAGCCATAAAGCAGCCAAAGAAAATCTCAAACTAAAGATAGGAAATGAAAGTCTCCCCAAAGAAGAACATCCAACTTACCTAGGAATCAAACTTGACCATAGGCTAACCATGAAAAGCCAAGTGGAGAACATAAGGAACAAGGCTAAAAAAAGACTCCAACTTTTAAAGAAACTCGCAAGCAGTTCATGGGGATCAGACAAACAAACTCTGAGAGCTCTATACCTGGGTTATGTCCGATCTTCCCTGGAATACAGCAATAGCCTACTCACAATGTGCAGTACAACTACTTGCAACACCCTTGACAAGGTCCAAAACAATGCCCTTCGTTTTATAAATGGCGGCATGAGATCCACACCTACCGCTGCGTGCGAAATCCTTGCAAATGTTGAACCCCTGGGAATCCGCAGAGATAGAGCAGTTTTGGAGCTACATGAAAGAACTAAAAGAATGTGCCTCAACCACCCAAACAGGAAATTAGTAGAAACATGGAAACCAAAGAAACGAATTCAACAAAAGTCAATCATGCATCACATCACAGAACTAATGGAGAGTCACCATCTACCACAAAACAGAAAAGAAACCAAAAGAGTCAACCAAAACATCCCTCCCCACCTTTCTTTAAAAAAGCCAATCATTACAACATCTCTCAAAGACAAGAGCACAAAATCTTCAGACCCAGTGACGCTGATGCTTGCATCACATCAAACAATCGACAGCTATTCAGATGACTGGATACACGTCTATACGGACGGCTCAGCATTCAAAGGCACAACCAAGGCCGGATATGGAATACTAATACAGTACCCAGATGGAAGTTCCAATGAGATCTCTGCAGCCTGCGGAGAGAAATGCAGCAACTACGATGCAGAAATGATGGCAATTGAAACAGCGCTGTACCATCTCCGCACAGTTTTTGACACTCATCCTGGAAAAGCACAGAGTATTGTGATTTTCACTGACTCACTATCAGTATTACAAGCCATAGAAAATGACCATTATCTAAACCAAGATTTGACCCATATACTGTTTGGATCCCATCATCTGATAACATTCTGTGGCATCAACCTAGTAATGCAGTGGGTTCCCGGACACTCAGACATACCTGGAAATGACAGAGCAGACACACTCGCCAAATGGGGATCTAGACAGGAACAACCCAACACTCCAACTTCATACAACACTGCAAAACAAATCATCAAAAGCAACAACAAACAAGATTGGATGAACAGATGGGCCCTGGGAAAGACAGGCAGAGCAGTTTTCAGACATATGACTACAACAAAAAGGAATGACAATATCAAACGCCTTCAGAGAAAGAAACAGACCACGATCTTCCGCCTACGAACAGAACATATACAGCTCAACTTCCACCTGAACAGAATAAACCCGGAACTTCCCCCAATGTGTCCCTTGTGTGACTATGCATATGAGACTGTGGAGCATCACCTGTTCCACTGCACAGCCCTAAATGACATCAGAGCTACCCTTCTCCCTCCGAGACCTAACATAGACAACACACTCTATGGAACATTACAGCAACTGCAGCAGACCTGCACTTATCACTACATGGCATTGGACAGAAGGGCGAGAGCCCAGCTGTTGCTGGATCGATAACAACAACAACAACAACAACATTGTTAAAAACTCCTTTGTCAACGGAGGACTGCACCACATAGGCACTGACAGCCTGTACCTGATTGGGAATATGCATTAACTTCCTGCTCTTCTAAATTACAAATTACAACAACAATAATAATAATAATAATAATAATAATAATAATAACAGGGTTTGAAATAGGCCGTGGCACTGCAGAAATTTGCCTTGGTGCCTTTGCAATTTTTGCAGTGCCCTGGCTTTTTGTTAAAAAAAAGAAAGAAAAGGTGATAACCAAAGATGGGCTGGCAACGATTGAATCAATTCAGTCAGTACAGTAGGCCTACATATAATATGTGGTCCTTGAGTGGGGGGGGGGGGGCGGGGGGGGGAGGAGTCAGGCAGTTCGGTCTCATGCCTCGACCCGTGCCCTCCTCGCCAACTCCGACCTTTGACCAATTGTCCATACGTAGGCTAGGCCGATGGTGAGCGAAGGCTCATGAAGAGGTGGATGAGTGGTGTAACACATACTGGTTTTTGTATTCCCAAACACACATTTTTATCGATCGATGCCGAGGTGCGAACGGGAAGGAAGGGCAGAAGATATTCGGATATGTCTCCAGCGAGGCACCCAGGAACTATTCGGAGACGTACTCCCGCACACAGATGCGCTGCTTTGGGGGTGAAACTGCATATTGTTTGCTGCAGATCACACATTTGACCACTAAAACTGTCATAAATTATTTTCAAGAAAATTTCAAACCTAACTGCAAAATATCAAATTATGGGTTAAAACATGGGGGCATGCCCCCCCCCCCCCCCCCAGTAACCCCCCAGATTTTTTTTGCTTGGTCAAGAGGCACAAAGCATTTTGATTGGTCTACCTCTGTCGGAGACGTCTCCGGATAGATACTGTGGGCACATCTGCATTTTTTGACAAGACACACTCAGCGTTGACTCTTACTTTACCATTAAATACATAAGAAAAAGGTACTCTGCATTTGTTCATGAATTATGCTGTGTCTGTGGCAGTCTGCATACAGCTAAGAATGATATGCAGTTTAAAAAAACCCACAAAACTGTGGAAATATGCTTGGGTAGAGATAAACTTCTTGTATGGAATAAAATCAATGACAGCTGACATATTCATTCTTAGTTTTTGCGTCGGAAATATGTGTGGGCACTTATGAATGTAAAAAAAATCAGAAAGCTGTTAGTCTTTGCAATTGGTCATGAAAATGAAAGTAAAAGCTGGAAAAGTCTGGTGCTAATTCAGTCTCATTGGAAAGCTAGAAATTATTCCGAAAACCCAGTTACTGCAAGTCACCCCTGTTATTCAGTCAACTTATAAAACCTAGTCTTAGCATTTTAAGAAAAGTAAGGAATTTCTGGAGTGTGACAGATACTGTTCGTGTATTGCATACTAGACATATTCTGGCACTAAAATTGATTTGTACTCCTTCGTAGAGCCACAATAAGGTAAATTGAATAAACTTTCGAGAAAATATGCGAATATTCGCAATTGTATTAAACACATATTATTAAGTTGTATGTGGAGGAAGTACTTCTTAACGAATTGTGTGCCAGATGGATAAAATTGCCAAAATACAGCTTTCTATTACCGTATCTGTGCAGATACGATCTTTTCAGAATTTCTCTATCAATGTTCTGTCATTCATGTTCCACAAGTTTGACAGTTTTTGCCAAGCCGTTTTTTAAAATATTTTTTTTTCTTCATTCACACTTGTCTAAAATTTTTTACCATTTTGTCATTGCCAACTTCAGCGCATCTGACAAAATATCAAGACAAGTTACAATGTTTGTTCTTTTTTGAGTCTGAAGAGCAGAAATGCCAGCTTTGGGTGCATTAAATGATAATTGTCATAAAAGCAAAGATACACTTTAAACTTTGAGGGAAGACCCGGGTCGGCGATCCCAGACAATATCGATAAAATCTTTCAAACTACCCAACTTTTGTTTTTTGCAGAAAAACATCCTTTGACATCTGTTCTATTGGGTCACAACGACGAAACTGTTGAAAAAACACCCTAAATGACCTGAAAGAGCGTTTGAAAAGTGCAAATTGCACAAAAAATCTGTGTTTTTGCTGTTTTTCTCAAAATCTACTTTTTGACATATGTGACCTCCCTGGTGCAAGGAGTTTTCAAAAACTTCTAAAGCTAGAAGCTTCAAATTTGGCATACATGTGCTTTAAAACCTATTCTGGGGATCTGTGTGAGGGAATTAGGAAACATTGGTAACTAAATATCTAAATTTTTTAGTAATATGTACCGCAAAATTTCATCAACTGACTCTCCATTGACTTTGGGCTCACTTTTTCAGTTTTGAAGATAGCTCAAAATCCTAACATGGATCCCCAGTCCACATAGGTTTGTACTTGTGGCCACTACAGAGCCATTTTTCAGAAAAAATCAACAAATTCACCCTTAGTACATCCTATTTACCTATGAACTTCTTGCATAATTAAATGAAAGTGAATAAAAGTCATTCGTTTAGAACATTTTTCCGGGAGTGTACATCTCCCTTTAAGTTGGAAAGAATAAAAAATTAAGTCTGCCCAGCCAGAGCAGTGGCAGGGAGCTGACCCCCGTGACCCCGATGTGATAAGGTGCTAGGCGGGGAGCCCCCCCCCCCCCCCCCCCCGGCTGAAACAAAAATTTCACTGCTGGTGTGCTGTGTATTACAAACATGGTATTATAAGAGGGTATGGAAAAATATTAGTTCTTCACCAGATATAAAATACAAAGAGAAAAGCTTGAGTATTGGTAAAGTGATAAAACAAGAAGAAAGTACAGTAAAGGCATAATAGTAAATAATACCCATTCTCTGAATCCGTGACACTTCATTTCCAACATGGTTGTACATTATGACTAAACTGCATTCAGTAATATCCAGTCCTTCTTCTGCCACGGTTGTAGCAACCAGTACATTCACTTCCCCTTCACGAAAAGACTTGAGAAGTAGGTTCTGCTCAATCTTACTTGTGCCTGTAAAGATAAAAAGTATCCTATAGCTTGTTCACTTTCGTCTAATCATGGTTAAAATAGATAAAAACAAATCATCTTTGTTTATTTAATCTTTCTCAGGTCTTTGCATACGTGGGTCTAAAAGTTGGATGACCAACAGAACCTAAAAGCTAATTAATGAAGGTCTCTGTAAACTAAGGTTCCAACACGTTTTCTTTTATTCATTTTTATTTAGTAGAGGTTTTACGGAGCTCGCGACGGCATAAGGTCATATGAGCGCCAAGCGGGGATGTCAAAAGAGAAGTCTTTACATGGAATCAGCTTACTCTGCTCACCTCTCTAGCTTCAACAGCGCAAAGTGTGTTTTGACTTTCAAGGCATCTCGGAAATAGTGAGTCACAAGAGAGTGACAAACATACAAAAGAATTAAAGGAATATAACGACAGAAAGGATTAGGAAATAAAAAGCAGCAGTTCCCCGTTGTAGTTCAGGCACAGTTAGGAGCGTGACATTGTTGAATCAGCCCATCTACAATTATACTGTGCATTTTATAAGAACGAGAAATGTCCCTCCTTTGGGAATGGCCTAAAGACACTTCAGTCAGTGGGGGGAACGGTTTTTTTTATGCTAGTCTAACGCGGATTGACACAATAATAGGGGAAATACAGCACATACTTAAAACACAAAAAAGTTTTAATTTTCATCAATACCACATTTTGACGCACAGCTATGAAACACGGTCCAACAGACGGGGTGAGTACTTTTAGAGACTTACATGGAGACGTCTAGACAGTCAGACAGTCGTGGTACAATATCTACAAGCTTTCACTGAAATATGGGAGCAGGGAGGTGTCACCATCTCAAAATGAGCAATTTGTAGGGTAAAGTACTGTAGATCTTTTAGTGATCCTGTGCATGCATCCAAAGTTTTTTCATGTAGGGTCCAAATAGTGAAACATTTTTATTACTGGATCACTATAAACCCCCCCCCCCCCCCACATATTTTCGTTTGGTCATTGATCTGTAGAACTGTCATGCAAACTGTCATTGGCATAGGTTAATTAATAAGTTAGCTAGAATTTTTTGAAGCATGGAGACGAAAGTGAACAAGCTATAGCTGAAAGAAGATTAGCAAATGATACTTAACCAGAAACTGTACAAAGTGTATTTGATCCAAAGCATCTCCTCTCAACAAAAAAAAAGGGGGGGGGGGGCAATATATATTATATATATATACACGAGTATATGCAAATTCTTCCCGAGCAGAGGATGTTGTCATGGGATTTAGATATACAGTCGAACCTGCTCTAATGACCATCTGTCCAAGACAACTTTTTTCCACTCACACTTACCAAGAGGACCATTTTTCTCCTTGCCCATGGGTGGTCATTTTGGACAGGCTCAACTGTAGATCTATAGGAATCATGCCTGTTTAGGTGTTGTAAACACAACAAGGTAGATATTCTTTTTCAAACTAATGGTTATGGATGTAAAATAAATAGAGCAGCAGTTTATGAGAAAGAAATTGACAACTCAACCATCCAGACAACTGTTTCTGCTTCAAGAAAGGATTAAAATTTCAGTGGAAACAAAACGAACAAATATCTTACCATCTTTGTCTTTAGAAGCAGAAGTCCCAGAAAACACAGCTGCCTTCAGATGACGGACAGATGGGTTCAACCTATTCATCCAGCCTGTGAGAGCTTTTGCCAAAGCTCGGGTGGACACAAAAATTATGCATCGTGAAGACTGACTTTTTTCAACCAAATGTTCTTGTAGAACTTTCTCAAGGTTTTGAAGATTTTTGTTTGGTGAAGCTGAGGCAGGATCCATCTCCGGTAATTCTTGGTAACATGAGAGAATAAAGATAGACTGGATTAAGCTCAGATCAAACATTCCCTGTCAGAAAGACCTGCGTATAGGACAACGAAAGAGGCACAAATGATTATAAAAGAAAGGACATTGGTTTTTTTTGTTTTAGTAAGAGTTTTATGCCACTTGCAACACAATTAGGTCATATAAATACCAAAGATTAGAGGTGATATATAAGCGAGTAACAAACACAAAAAAGGAGGAGAGATAAAGATGATGGCTGTTTGATAGGAAAAAAGGAGCAAACCATACTAGAGCACCTGCAAACCATCTACAAAATAATATCTCCCACCTAGGCAAGAAAGACTAAGTATGAAGACCCACTTCAGTTTTGGAATCAGCTCATCAAGTAGTTTAGTCAAACGAGTCATAATCTTAAGAATTTTAAGAGTTTTTCAACTTAACACAAAAATTGTTTAGAAAGACTCTTACTTTGATAGAACATCAACTTACAAGTCAACACAAGAAGAATTTCTACGATGGTACGGTATTTCTTGAGAGGACAAGCCGTGGCCATAGCATAATAGGAAACCAAGTGAGTTAGGAAATCTAACAACTGCCTTCTATGCGTGAAACCCAGCGGTTGGTATTTAGCTTAACATAGTCCTCCTGCTGGTGAAAAAGACTCATTGTTTGTCTGCAAGTCACTAGGTGAAGCCACCAGCTTTGATCACCCTGTGTTACAATTTCAGATATAAACGTTTGTTTGTTGAAAGATGCACATCAACACAATAACGGTACTTTTGTTTTTGGAAAAAGTAAGACAGATAACAGAAATAACAGAAGGATAGAAAAGGAGTAAGACCTACCAGAGGTGCCCTCCACCAACCATCCACTAAGACATAACCATGAGCTAGTGGGTGAACAAGCAGTGACAAAATAAATAGTGCTTTTGATGACATAGTATACAATAACAATTGTAAGAGAGGGGAGAAGGAAGAAAGGAACGATTATCTGGAAAGGAAAGACGTCCCCATAATCAGACTGCCACCGGAACAATCAGTATGGACACCTTGCGGACTTTGGTGCTGGGGGGAACTGAGCACTTATGGACCTGTCCGGTGTGCAATGACGTTGTTGCCCAGGACAGGTAATACAGGTAATACAAAAACAATTCTAAAGTCAGGACAAGAGGCACTGTGGTGAAATCAGGTGCTCGTCAAAATAATGAAAGCTTAGAAACTAACATTTTCCCACCCCCTGGGCAATATTAAAACCATTTTTTTTTGGGGGGGGGGGGGGTAGCCCAACACCTTGTGTGGTTATTCAAAAACACATTTCTGTGTGGAATTTATGGAAAAATGTTGATTAAAGACACACAAAACATACATTTTCAGTCTCCAAACTCAAACTGACAAACTTTAGAAGTCACAAAACTTTGGCAGCCATTTTTTTTCTGATTTTACCTGACACCAGGTGACCCCTGCCTCCTTTAATTGCAAATATCGGAACTTCTGTTCAAGACTGATAGGTGTTTTTTCATTAAAAGCAAGGCAAGTAAACAGGCTTGTTGTTGTTGTTGTTGTTGTTGTTAGCTATCCAGTAGCATCTGAGCGTTAACTCTTATGCATGATGCCATTCGGTAATAGTTGCATGTTTGTTCTAATTGTTGTCTTGAGGAGTAGAGGCAATTAGATGTGTAAACAGGCTTTAAGTTTAAGAATATGTCAACAACTCCATATGCCCAAAATTGACACACACTTGATTCCACTGTGTTGGAACACATATAAAGGGACTCATGCTAACATGCATGAGAGGAAAAAAAATCCAAGGTGCAAAAGAAATTATGAAGCTTCCTCAACTTTTTGCTAACCTTAAAAAATTCATGCAGTTCTGAAAGAAAACCCCCAAAACATAACACGTTTCTGTTAAATTTTAAGAAACAGGTAAGCTTATGAGAGCTCTCATCTCATGGATAACGAAACCAGATATAAGAGTGATATTATATAAGAGATATATTATATAATATATAATTCTAAAGTTGAAGTAACGGAAATGGTAAGTTCAAAGTCCTGCATCATCCAATGGCTGAGTTGCAGCAATATTAAGGAACACTGCACATCATCTCGTGGTGTAACCCTTCTTAAGGAAAAATAGCATGCAATCATATGCTGCTCTGAAATAAAAGACTGCTGTTTACTTTCGTGTACCAGTTTCGCATTCTTCCTCACTTCTTTACTCTGATATAGTGCTATAATATAATTTGTTTTCTTGTTAAAAAGATCCATTAGGGTTTAGTGTCAACATCTTAAAATTCCAAATTCTATCATACACACAGCATTGTCACTAACTAGGAGCATACTGCTGTGAAGTCAGGCTCTACTCACTCCCAAGCCAGTATTTGTAGTCTCTTGAGAATGGAAGGAAAACACAGGCAAGTAGTTACCCTTCTCAATCAGTGAACACACAACACCTTATAAAGTACACTTACATATCAACAGAATGAGTTTGACTTCTCTTTAATTCTCAAAAAATCAAATGGTCTGATAAAGAAACTATATACAATTAGCATTTTATTATCTTTCTACATTTCACAAGTCCAAATTTGATAAGGGAAAGACAGGAAATCAGAAACAAATATTCATGATCTGTAGACACTTGGATTGCATTTACATTATGAAGGGACATCTCTTGCGCATATTATGTGAAGTATTTCTAACTGTAGCAGAAAAGGCACTGCATAGGGCTAGCTATTCACCTCACTACTCTTACTGACAGGTATGACATTTACATGCAAGCAACTAGCCCACGAACGCAGTTCGTTATTCATTCTTTCGTGTACAATGGAGAAGTGCGTAACTGTGACAGCTTGAGCAAATTAACAAAAACATAGAACTACACTAGGTCCAAATGCAGACACACAGGAGTTAGGTGTTGGATAAGCTTCAATGACTAGACCAATGTCTGAAAAGACTTAATACAACCAACCTCTTAAATTCTCATCTGGTACATCCATGATTTTTTTGAGTAGGAACTTCTGAACTTCCTGTGTATCTGCCAAATCATACAGGTCCAGAGCTTCACTGCAAACCTGAGGAATCATATTCATACAAAGTTATAACAATAGTTTGTCTATTAGGAAGTGATGATGACCTTTAATTAGGCTTTAATACTCAAGGAGGAAGACAAGTTGTAGACAAAAGTGAAGGAAATAATAGCAGGCAGCTGGTAATAATCACAGATGTGACAAGCCACCATAGGTAGCATTGCCTTTCTCTTTCTTAAAGTGGTATGCCTGTCTACCTAAACATAGATGGTTAAATCTTCCTATGAATTTGCTTGTGACCTTATAACATTATTCTTTTTGAGAATTTTCCACAAACAGAGCACTTGTCAATGTCAGGATTTGATTGTCTTGATTTGCTTGCCTTTCTGGCTGCCTCTACTTTACAAACTCTTGTTTAAAAACCTTGCTGCCATATTGGTATAGTTTTATGTCGCTGTGATCTGTCAAAAGAGGGTTGCCCACTCATTCACATCGATGGTGCAATCTTTCAGAGAGGTCTTTAGAGTGTCTTTATGTCTCTTTTTACGGGCACCAATGTTCTGTCTTTCCACATACCAGTTCTGAGTAGGAAATGGCTTGGGGTGCTTGGCATTCAAACCAAGCGCCTTGCCCATCTAAGCTGGATTTTTGCCTGGAGGCAGAAGATACTACAGGCTTTTGCCCTCTCAAGAACTTCAGTATCTTATCCCTCCAGTGAATTCCAGAACTCTTCTCAGACAAGAGACTAGAGAGATGAAACCTATTGAGCTTGTTGGCATGTGTATTGCACATTGTCCACACTACCTATTTGTATATGTAAGTATTAAACAATCTATCTATCAAATAATGTGTTTATTGTATTTCTGTGGCAACGATTTGTTTAATGTACTTCTGCAGCAATGAACTGTTTATAACATTTCTGTCGCAAAAATATGTTAATGATATTTCTATAACAATGATCTATTCAATGTCTCACTGTTGAAATGATTTGTTTATTGTCTAGCTGTAGCAATGGTGTGTTCATTGTCTCACTGTTGAAATGATCTGCTTATTTTTTAGCTGTGGAAATGATTTGTTTACTGTCTAACTCTAGCAATGATTTGTTTATTGTCTAACTCTAGTAATGGCTTGTTTATTGTCCAACTGTTGTAATGATTTATTAATTGTCTTACTAAAGTAATGATTTGTTTATTGTCTACCTGTGGTAATAATTTGTTTATTGTCAAACTGTAGTACGGATTTGTTTATTGTCTCACTAAAGTAATGATTTGTTAATTGTCTTACTAAAATAATGATTTGTCTTACTAAAGTAATGATTCGTTTATTGTCTAACTGTAGTGAAGATTTGTTTATTGTCTAATAGTGGTAATAATTTGTTTATTGTTTAACTGTAGTAATGGTATGTTTATTGTCTTACTAAAGTAATGATTTGTTTATTGTCTAACTGTAGTAATGGTTTTTTAATTGTCTAACTGTAGTAGGGACTTGTTTAACATCTGAGGCCAGTCTGGACCAATGACCTCTGGAGCCAAACATGACCTGTTTGTATGGTCTTTGTACTGGCATTATGATGGAATGTACATACAACTGAAAACTGCAACTGAGTAAGTTACATAACATAGTACAACAGATGAAGTCCATAGGTCGAGCCAATAAAGACAATATTAAAACATTTTATGACAGTGACATGCAACAGGGCACCGAGAAGTCCTATGCGACTTAGGTTCACAAGATAATTTAAAATAGTTCTCCCCTTACTATAAAACAAAAATGAATCCTAATATTGGCTTGTGGAAAGACCAGAACATCAACTGTCAAAACCATGGATTCCAAAACCATGTAAGACAAAACTTAATGAAGGAAAAACTTTATAGATGGACCTCAAGGCAGAGCAAAAAGTGAAAATAGTAGAGAGCATGTAATGAGTGCCAGAGTTGGTAGGACTGAAAGGAGCGTGGGACATAGTGACGTTGAAAATCTATCAATCTCTGACATCAACAACTAAATAATAAGTGTTGAATTTAAAAGATTATGTCGAATCACAGATCTAGTTTTAACTCTTTAGACCTTGATAGTTATTTCCACCATTTTCCGGAGTTTTTTTCTATGGTCACCTAAACCTGGCGCACTATGTCTCATTATAGCCCCTAAAGCTTGCCTCTAACTTCTAAATAGATTAAATTTAGTAGTGTTTGAGGGTTGAGAATGGCATTTTCTGTGTTGCCACTATAATTCAATTTGTCATCGTATCATTTACAGTCGGCAGTAGGCAAACCTGGGAGCATCAATCTTCGTGATACAATCACCAAGTGCATACGCTAATTTTTCTTCATTTACAAGTTTGAATGTTAAATGTCACAACCTCAGAACACTTCCACTTATTTAATAAATCCTAGCATTAATTTCTTCTACTGCTGTCTTATCCTGCTCCTGTAGAATCCTTATACTGACAATTTCTCTAGACCTCATCATCATCCGGTGCCTTGCCGACTGGCGTGGGCGACCATGGACCTCCACTTCACTCTGTCTTGCGTTGCAGCAATGGTGTCTGTTGTTCTTACTGCTCCTAGCCATGTTGTCAGCTTGTCCAGTATCTTTTCCCTCTGTCTGCCTCTGCCTCTCTTTCCATCAAACTTACCTGTTGTTACAATATTCTCCAAAGTTTCTTTCAGCATTGTGTGTCCGAAGAAATTTGCCTGTCGCTTTATTATATTCGTCATAAGCTCTCTTCTGCAGTTTGCTTCAACCAAGACTTCTTCATTTCTTTTTCTAGCTGTCAATGGGATACGTAGCATGCGTCTTATGAACCACAACTCTGTCACCACAATTGTTCTTTCCAGCTGTTTATTGATTGTCCATGCTTTGCACCCGTATAATAGGATTGGCTCGATGTAACTTTTCAGTACTCCTTTTCTCGTTTCCAGTGACAGATTGATGTTTGTGAATATCTGTTTCATTTTGTGGAAGGTTGCTTTAGCTGTGCAAAAGCGACTTTTAATTTTGGTGGGACATCTCCCATCTGATGATATAATGGTCCCCAAATATTTAAAATGACAGATCTATAATGTGATGGCAAGTATGGACCTTTCAGAATACATGGATTTCCGTAAAAACAGGGAAGATTGGAAGCACTGTAAAATGAGCCATTTTTTTCCTTTTCATCATGGTGCCCATCACAAATTCGGTAGTCTTGATAACTTCATTGGCATGGTAGTAGAACAGATGAAAAATTGGCAACTGCTGGGAAAATCGGTAAAAATAGGCAGCCCAGCTTACCTCTAGTCGCCTTGTCAGGGAGATAAGCAACCCTTTATCTTTAATGCGGTCTTCTTGGGGTTTGCAAGTTTCTACAGCTTGTCTCACAAGGACAATTCGTTGCCTGTAGGCTTGAAGTTTTTTGTCTGGTGGCAACATGTTAAGTTCTTCATGAACACCTCCACAACTTAAGCCTGAAAAAAGAATAATCAAACATATCACTACAACTGAATTGTTGGGAATTTTAAAAAGTCGGTCACACATCCAATTCTTACAGTAAAAACAAAGTTCAGGGAAATATGTATCTATCTTTTCTCTGGGATGGCTAAAAATTAAGAAGACTGGGATTACAAACTTTGTTGGTTTATGTGATTAAATGAGTTTATAGCAGTAGAAAGTGAGGAACATTGTGTAATGATATCAGCTATGTATTCTTTTGTCAAAGATTAAACCTTAAAAACTCCCTGGACAATCCTGACAACAAAGTGATAGGTTGAGAACAGTAGCAATAGAGGAATTATACCATTAGGGCCTATACATTGATTTTCTGACAGTATGAGGGGGTTTTCAAAATGAATGAAACTGTTCAAGCAACTTGAAAACAAAACCTCAGATTTAATTAATTTTTCACCTATTGCTCAAAGTAGTCTCCCTCAGCAGTGAAGTAATTTTGTAATCAATGTTTCCATTAAAGAAAAGTTGTTATGTAGTCATTTTTTAGAATACATTTAAGGCACTGTTGTTTTTCTGACCAAAGACTTGTGAAATAAAAGCATTCTGAAAGTTAACTGGTTGCAAACAATTATACCAAAAATAACAGTGTAAACAAAAATGTGACTTTGAAAACCTGCACACAAAGAAGACAGAGACATCTCAAACTGGCATTTATTTAACTAAGAAAAAAGATTTCTAAAAAGGGAAAAGCAGATTAAACTTCCGTAACTCTTTTCGTACCATGAATCATAGAAAGAAAGACATATATATACATAGTAGTTATTCAGGAGATGATGGTGGGTGGTTGGCGGGTGCTCTGGTGGGGTTTGCTCCTTCTTTTCTATCAAACATCTATCGTCCTGATCTCTCCTCCTTTTTTATGTTTGTTACTCTATTGTAACACCTCTAATCTTTTTGTCACTTATATGACCTTATTGTGTTGTAAGTGCCATAAAACTCTAACTAAAACTAACAAAAAGGAGATGATGCCGATGCACTGGCACATGTCACTTCAAGAGACTGCTTGGCAGTCGTGTGCAAAGGCTTGAAATGGTAAAGAGGTAGGGGAATAACGGTGTGTGAAAGAATAAAGTATGGGCTGCGCTTAAATAATTGAAAAAGGCTACATTCATTGTGGAGTGAACCATCGTCTAACTTAACTTGATGGTTCTCATAACAATGCCAGCTCCCAGATCTATATTGTCTGCTGTTGTGAAGCAAGAACAAAAAAAAAAAAAAAAATCAAAGAAAAGGCACCATAATCAGTAACAAAAGAGAGATTGTTTTACATTGATAGGCATAATAAAAGTTAAATATAATACCATTTAATTGAAACAGTAGCACATTATTGATGCTTACGGTTATTCAGTGCCCTGGCTTTGAGTAAAGGTTAAAAAGTTATTGTGGCACACTCCAGTGACTACCCACCCAAATGTTGTGTAAATAACATCGCTCTACATTACAGCTGAGTATGAGCTCACAAACAACCTGTCCACTGGAGTTTTACGGAAAGACATTTACCTTCGGCAAGTCGTTTGATTCTTTTTTCTATTTTTGTCATGTAGCTATTCATGTTTTCCACAAAATTATCCAGTCCTCTTCGTTGTAAATTCACATTCTCTGTGAATAGAAACAATTAAGAATTCATGGTTAACAATGAATCTAGAAAATGTCGTTTGTTGAAACATTAAACACTCTCATTTCAAAAGACTAATAGTCTAAAAATTCCAAGAGGAGTATCGACATCACTTAAAATTACCTGTACAAGAGTTTTCTTCTGTCTTGAATACCTGAAAACTCAGGTTTCATACACACAACGACAGTTTTCTTTGCATAACCTATTATATTGTAGGAGACAATGAAGTTTCTGGTTGCAGAGACTCAAACATGATATTCCAAGATGACTTTTCATGTGATTTTATTATTCAAAGTTCTGGTTTTGTCTTTTACCATGAACAAAATCATATAAAATAATGTTTTTTCAAAATCAACCATTAAAAAAAAAATATTTTGTTGCAACAGCCATTTACAAAAACTCACAGCGATTTGACACTTGATGTTAGGACACTTTGAACCAATACAAATGACTGAACACAAGCTTTTTTTAATACTCCTTCTGTGAGCTGAGAATATTTTGATGAAAATAAATGGGCTGGAATAAATATTCCGGCTATGCAAAAAACTTCAATGAAGTTCTGAAACATTCAAAACAGCAAAACTAATTGATGATCATTGTCAAAATTGGAAACTGGATAATTTTTGTTCAGAAAAAGTTCATGACAAAGCAACAAATATTTCACACAAGTAAACACGGGTAAGTACCACGAAAGCCTCTAAAAAGAGATCAAAGAACAGAAATATGACACACTATGGATTATCAAAGGAGTTACCTTCGGTGGGTACTGGCGTATGCTTTTGCAGCTCAGAAACATGTTTTGAGACAGTGGAAATTTTTCTGACATCAAGATTCCCACAAACTTTCACTATATTCTCATACGCCCCATCTATTGTCTGGGCATTTCCAACACCAAGAGAGGCAGTAAGTCCCAATATCTGCAAGTACAAATGAGTTCACTTAAAACTACTGAAATTTAAAGTAAAATCTTTTATGAAATGAACAGTTTAAAAGGAAGATTTGAACTTTTGCAACACCTAAAACTGAACTTTATGGCTTCCAGCTGAATACAGTCAAGGAGGGTGTGGGGGTCCGAGCCTCAGCTCTGTCCGACGTTGTGTCCTTGGAAAAGGCACTTTACACAAATTTTTCACTTGGCTCGGCCCTTTCGTAGACGGACGTCAAAACTTGGATGTCCTGCCTCTTAAATAACCTAATAATGTTGATGGGGCGTTAAACCCACACTATTTATAGCAAACACGCACATTGCAAAACATGCAGATAGCAAACAGATTTTCAGGTCCCGAATTTTTTCTTACACCTATATATGTATTTCCTTTTTATCTTAAACACATACATAGCAAACTTTGTACATTACGAAAAGATTTCTGTCTTCTTATTGCCATATTTGTAATACCATTTACCTTAAGAAATAAGCAGAACACTGTCAGGACATTTAAAATCACAAAAAAGAAAGACTTTATTTGGTTGCAACTTGTCTTCAACCACTTTTGAGGAGTTGAAATCTGCGTTGTGTTAAATAGGCACTCTTTGTAAGAGTATAATTTTCTCAATTTTCAAAGCAATTGGGGTACAACAAGTTTCAGCTTGGAGCTGTTCAAATCTACTGGAAAAAAAATTACCTATAAATTTTATTTCAAAGGAAACAGTAGTTTTCTTCCCCTCAACTCCTTTGTTGCCTTATTACATAGCTAGTTCATCATGAAAATGTGCTATTTTTAGCTTTGTGCTGTACCATGGACATCATGGAAATAAGCTAAATTTGTTGTTCATGGTTGCTTAAAAGACGTTACATGTACATCCCACTGGTCATTTGATTCTAATTTTTCTGTAAAGAAATTTAGCCTTAACCACAGTGGACTCGTTTTGAAAACAAAAAAAGCGCATATTGGTATCAAATTCGCTGGTGATTATATTAGTATACTGCTAGGCTTGCAAGCGATCAATAAAAACAGGTCTATTCTTGCAGATGATCATATGCCCTTGCAAAACGTAAACACCAGAATGACTTTAAAAAGGCAGAGAAAAAGGTATTCACTTTTTGACTTAGATTTGCAAGTTTTTAAAAGCTATGAGTAAGACGGGGAATATAGGGAACGAAGAAAGCTAGGAACACTTCACCATCAAAGACCTGGGGTCCGAAAAATGTCACGAGTGGGCTACATCTAGACCGTGAGTCCAGTAACACTGAGACAGGAGACTGCTGTCCTGTTTAACAAGCTAAGCTGAAAATCGATGTTGACAGCAGGAACGCACATCACCAGGCAAAAACAGTTAATAAATAAGACTAATGTTTTTGATAATACCTATGAATTACAACCATCAATTTGTGTAAAAGTTGATAAAAATGACTCTTCATCCCAAAGCAACTATTTAAAAAATAAAGTCAAGGCTGGTTACAAGCTCATCATGTGAGTGGTTAGTGGGTGCTAAGGTATGTTCAACTCTCTCTGTCTCTCTTTAAGTGAACAGTTACTGAACCCATATCTCTTTAAGAAGAAATGTTTCTTATATTTTACTAATTTGAACAACAACAAGTTGCTGCAAATGTTTTCCCCTTCATGATCACAATTTCAAACATTTTGCAGGAGAGCTGCTTTGTTCCATGGCCTGTCTACGTCCTATCAGAAAGACAAACATTTTCAATAAGAAATCTTCCAGACGCGTGAATCAAACTCATGTCTTTCGTACAAAGAGCATTACCATAACAATTCAGAACTATAACATAATCCAGGGAAGATTAGGAGGGAGAAGGTTAAGATATACAGATAAATGCATAACCTGAGGCATCTTTTCACCACCGTTCTCCATTCTTGTCTTGTGATAGGCCTGCATGAGTATGTTGTAGGTCTCCTTTTTATTTGTGTGGTGGCACTCGTCAAAGACCACAAGGGAGAGGATCTCAAGGCTCGGGATGAGATCAAAGTTCAGGTGGTTCAACAGGATCTGAGGTGTCATCACGATGATGTCATAAGTATCGATTATCATGTGAAGCTTCAAGCTGATCTCTTCTCCTCCTGACACCTTCAGGATCTATTCAGAGACAAGATGACAGGAAATTAATGAGACAATATGACATACAGTGGAGAGTTTGTGTAAACTGAAGTCAACAGGAAATATAATTTTTTTTCGGTTAAGCCAGGTTTTTGAGGAAGAAAGGTTGCTGAAATACAAGAAAAAAATCCGGGATTTAATTTTTTTTCAATCTACGTCTGTTTTTGGATTATAAGTGTTGGGTTTAAGCAGACTCCCCTGTAATTAGATATAGAATAGGGTAAACCTACAGACTTCAACAAAAGTTAAGGACCACTTGCAAACACTCCGAGAGGTCTTCTTGGGTCGACCTGCACGTGGGTGTTCTTGGACTGATCCAGTAGCTTGATGGTGTTGCCTCAGGCTGACAATGACAGAGTGTGACACTGCAAACCTTCTGGCAACTTCTCGGGCTCCAACTCCATCCTGCAGCCATGCCATAGCTCTGGCACGATCAAAGTCTCTCAGCTTTCGTCTTGGTGGCACGTTGATGCGATACTGGATTTTGCGCAAACAGCGGCTTATATTGCCACCAAAATGAGCACAGTTAAGACCGTATGTCCGTTTATGACGTGCATCAGAAATTTTATCTGAGGAATGTCCATGGTGTCGCACACAAGTCGATAAAAAACAGCAAATTTGGCTAAAATTCCCTGAGGACTTCCTTGCAGCACGTGATGATTTTGCTCCTTTAGGAAGCTTGGCAGTACGCATTGGTAACCCATTAACACTTTCAGAGCAAAAAATTTTGAAATATTCCATGCTGTCTTTAAAAAAACACCAAATCAGGGCTGTCTGTCAGGGTGGTCCTTAACTTATGTTGAAGTCTGTAGTATGGTTAGGTTCTAAAACTACTTTAAACATAAAAAAGTAATTTAAAAAGTAGTGGTGCTTCCAATTCATTGTCCAACTTGGACAATAAGATCACCCTTTGTGATAACAAACGATAAAACAAAATACAAGCTAGAAATAAGAGAAATCTGTATAAGGTCTGCTGTATGATACCAGCTCTGCCAGTGTTCCAATTTTGTGACAATGCACCCACCGAGATCCTATCCCAACTTGTATTTCAAGAAACCATTCAAATAGCTAAAAATCATGTTGAATAACTCATTTCTAATAAAGGGCAATCAAATTAATAATTTGTCACATCAGCCAACAAGACACAGGCCCTTGTTAACAAAGCCTAGTTCATCACGTCATCTGCAAAGCTTTTTAGCAATAAAACTAAAACAGCTTCATTGTGGGAAAGCTATCATTGCTTTGTACAATAGTGGCTTATTGATATTGTGAGACTAAAATTGAAGACATTTATGTTCAGTTTAGATAATTCAATAAGCTTGAATTAAAACGACTTGCCATCGACTTGCCAGCCATTAAGTTTAGACTGTTTAATTAAGAAATGAGTATGTGTTTCAATTTTGTCTTCAGCGTGTTCCAGTTTTGTTATGGACTTTGAGGATCTAATCTTAGCATAAGTTCATTGCCATTTGTCGCAAAAATAAAGGTAAAATAATGAAGGTAAAAAAAAATGACAATTAATGGATAGTCAATACAGCACATGCACAAATTATGAGCCAACTTAAAATCTAATGTGACATTTACAGCATTTTGGAAAAGGGGTCGGGTTCAGTGGAGAAAGTGACATGGGTGAGTGAGACAGGAAGACTTTTGACTTGAAGTTTCAGAATCAGGGTTGTTAAACTGAACACTTTTGACGACAGTTGGTAGGGTGGGGGTTTGGGTATAATCTGGCCTCTCTTTGTCTATGCTCCTTCAATGTTATTCTTCCAACAAGTGATGGTGACTATCTTTCTGGGTAAACAGCAAATCCTTTTTAAAAAAAAACAAATCTCCTAGAATCTCAGACTTAGACCAGACCCCAGTAATGTCATATTTAACCCAAAAATATGTTTAAAAAACTATTTATAGCCTTGTGGTTAGCTGCTGGATATGGTTGCATGGGTACAAAGAACCCAACTTTTTCCTTTTATATTTTTTGCCTTCTGGAAGCAGAAAAGTGTTGTATTGATGTAATCTATTATATAGCCGTCATTATCAGCTAAATATCTTGGCCGGTTTGAAAATAGTAAATAAACTTGTACAAATAAACACAAGGAGGGCATCTTACTCCTAAAAAGACCAATAAACTGAGAACATCAAAAGCGTCCCCACTGTGGACTACTACGCTGAATCCACAGGCATGCGACGAAACTGCAACACTACGGTGACAAAATTCGAACAACTGTTTGTATGCAATTAATAAGGTTATTTTTGAAACACCATTTGACTACCTGGTGAACTGCCTTCTATTATCCTGATCCAGAGCATAAAAGCTGTCATCCTAAACAAAACTATAATCTTGCATTTAACACAGGGAGTTTGGGCGAGCAAGAGCAAGAGCACTAACTAGATATGAAAAAACGGGCACATGTGACCCTTATGGGAAAAAAAGAGAAAAAGGAAAACATACCTGACATGATTTTTTCAAAAGTAAAAGATAAACTTATGAGTCCTAACAATTAATTCTATTTCTAACAACACTGTTGAAAGAATTAACAAACATGAAAAAAAGCCCCACAAACAAAACTCTTTTCAAGGCACTAACAGTTCCACACATCACTCAAAATAGATAATGGTGTCATTCACCCAAAAACTCACATTGCATGACCCTTAATAATAATCATTTTTCAGCTAACTAGTTTTAGTTACATACCATGTTATGTGGTTAATTACACGAGAGGCCCAAATCCTCTTACTTGCGTAATTTTTTTTTTAGATCTTTAACTATTTATGCAAAAAGGAAGCATAAAAGTCATTGCATGCGTGTCACTTCCTTGCTTTTCCTGACCAGTCCACCACTTAAGAATTTTCGTCACCCTTTTGCTTAATGGAAAGTACCTTAGGCAAAAATAAACGGAAAATCAAACAGTAATAAGAAACTGAGTTTGAGCTTTGCAAGAAAAACCATGAGAGAATCTATCCTATCATACTGAATAAGATATGTTTAAAGCTTTAGCGAGTGCAGCTATGTTATTTCCCAAAACAGAGAATGTCATTACTGCGGGTTCCCTTGTACCATTGTGCATAATGCAATGTCATGGCGTTTTTAAAGTTGTAAGGAGCAGATCTGAACAAAAGTGAGGCTATGCTGTCCCCAGTATTCTTGAGAATAAAATATCTCATATCTTTCTCGATTAAATATCATCATTCATGTTGACTTATACAGAGTGATTCTGGACAGAGTGCAACTATTTCACCAAATATTTATACCTTCGTTTCATAACTATGTAGGGCATTCCACGATCACCACAGTTAAGTGAACAGGTTTCTTAGTGCGCAATTATTGCAACTGACCAAAAATGTCCCCAAAAATATCAAATGGATAAACTAAACTCCTTTACTCAATTTGTTCAAAATATCAGAAAGAAGCTTGGTTAGTGACATTTAGATTATGAGCATGAACTTACAGGCATGCAATTTTTATTGTTATTATGAAACAAGATGAGTACATTAAATCATTGGACTTATCCAATTTACTGAAAATAAACATACATAGCTTGCAGCGTCCTAATATATCACAAAACAAGTTTAATAATCAAATATAATAACAATATGTAAGAAAAGTGTGAAAAAACCCTGTATCTCATGAATGCCATAGCAGGGCAGTTTCCTTGAGGATGGAACATCTCATTTTATTCATTGCTTCTGATTTCTGTTTCTAACAAATCAAGAAAACAAGACGCAAGAGAACACAAAATGGTGCAGAATATTTAATTACCACTTACGCTGTATTTATTTCCAAGATGTCGTTGTAGGTTATCATACTGTTGCTTCACAAGAGGAACGGTTCGTGCAAGGAACACAACTTTTTTGACTGCATTCGTAGCTTCTAGAAATGTGATTCAATAAAACACGGAGCATAAAGTTCAAGTTAATGCAGCAGGAAAATAAAAAGCATTAATTTTCAAGAACAGTATTATTATAATTTTCCAAAAAAAAACCTTCTTTAAATTTTTTAGATTTTTAGAAAAAAGAAAAAAAGGAACAAATTACATCAGTGTTGCTCAAAAGATCAAAAGTGTTCAGGATTTTCCACAAACAACAAAAAGGGTATGAGACACTGAATACCTCTTGATAATCTCTGTGACATTTTTATAAGAAATCAAGACAATTCCCTTCTACCATAACTACAAAATCATTTAAAATTAAAAACAGTATCACAATTTATATACAAACAAGCAAGCACACATTCACGCAAAGTAACTGTACAAATCCACTCACTCCGTCATTCTTTATCTTTCTTCTCTTTCATATGGAAGGAAATAAATCATAAATGTGAACACAGACACTGAGAATGTTCTATGCACACAGTAAATAACCATCTACCTAAGACTGATTTGCTTTTCCACTCTTTCTTCCCAAGAATTAAATTGCTTATTTGCCCCACGTATTGTTATTTCATTGTATAATCCCCCTTCTTGTAAAAAAACCCCATCATGAACTTCTTTCTCAAAAGCCAGAGTATTCAAAGAACTTTTCAAATAAAAGTGAACCATACTTTCAGGGGACTGCTGCACTTTGGATTCACAGTCAACACCCAGTCAGAATGTTGGGATTGACATTAGCTTTTTGACAAAGCCTCCCCAGCAGTAACTTTATGTAATGAGCAGATAAATATATGCGAAATGTAAAGGATTAATGCCCCCTGCAACACTGGTAGGTTATCCACAAGACCTGATCTCCGAATTTAATGTCCATCTCTGATATGACTTAGCCAAATGAGAAAGTTTGTGAGGAGTGCCTTTCTCGAGGACACAACGTAAGATCGAGTTGAGTCTCAAATCCCCAAACCCACATTGTAACGATAATGAGCACAGTAGTCTAACCACTAGACTATCAATGCCACCGATGAGCATTTTGTTGTATTCAAAGTGCACTGATACAAAGGGAAGACCAATTTTTCACATACACAGGTATTGTCTCAGTCAAGTGAACTGAATGTTCAATGCCTCGTGTGTGATGATAACTATCTCAGACTCAGAGCACTCAGCTTGGACCAGAGTCAACTCAAAGCTTCTGAGAATATTCTTAATCCAGAAAATCTTGCAAGGCAGCGTCCAAGGAAAAAGGAGCAGAGGCAGACCGAAGAAGAGTTGGGAGGACAACATCAAGGAATGGACAGGCCTGGACCTCAAAGACATGCTCAGGAAAGTTGAAGACCGGAAGGAGTGGAGCAAGCTGGTGGCCAAATCTTCAAAAGCCACCCGATGGACATCCAGTCTATGGGACAGGTGAAGGTGAAGGGTGAAGAAAACTAAGATACTGAGCAAGAACCATGAACCAGGGCTTTCTGAAAGAGAAAACACTCCCGTCATGAACATGGATCAAGTCTCAAGTGTCTGATCAAAAGTCACAGGACCCGAGGATCACAGATACCTTCGCTGATGCTTTAGTGCATCCTTTAATACATGCCTGACAGAATTTAAAGAGTTCTTTTGCTACAAGAGTTTCTCAGAAATATCCAGTAATGCATTAACTCTTTATGTTCGACAAGCCACTGGGCGCGGTCGGAACGGCTGTGCCGGTAAGCCCATGACAGCGGCTCGGCCGCTTTCCTTTACGACGATGTCAACATCAAATTACTTTTCGGAAATCCCCAAAAAACAGGTCTCTTATATTAGGAGTTTATTCATTAGAGGAAAAACTATCACAATAGGTTCACTGGTTTTGATTTAACTCACTCAATCCCAGGAGTTTTTCCCTAAATTGTACCCCAAAAACCGGTCATTTTGGCACTTATGATGTAAGGGCCCACTTGTAACCATAAATATTATATAATTGCTTTGATATTTGGCACAAAGTACAACCTAAGATGGATCTATAGACGAGCCAAATTTGAAGTATGTAGCTTTAGTAGTTTTGCTTTGGAGTGTTGTACAAATTTGGCATTTTTGGGGGCTTATAATTTTGTTTCATGGACAAGTGAGTAGGAACAAGCCTACAATGATATTCAAATATGCTTGTGAGTGTCTAGATCTATGTATTGTATGTCATGTATAATAAAGACTGTTGAATACTTTCATGAATAAAAAAAAATGTATGCGTGAGAAAGGCAGAGAGAATCGATTGCGAGACATGCTCAGCTGATCTTTGTGAACAAACGTGCTGAAAGTGCCTTTATGAAAACCGTGATTTCTGCACGTGTAATGACAGTAGAAACAAAATTCCAGCACCCCTCTGGGCAGAATTGGAGAGAGAAATAATAAATTGACTTTATATAAAACTTGAGGCTGATTTCCGAAATTAAATAACTAGTATACTGAATACAACTATAGAACCAAATTATCTCGGTCGAGGGATTGAATGCAGCCCGCAAGCTGACCGAGATGGGATTGAGCGAGTTAATGACCTATTTATAGATGTTTTTGTTATTTTTAGATTTAGTACCAAAAAAAGGACCCGGCATAGTGGGTTTACCCCCCTCGGAGATAAAGAGTTAAGAAATCCCCCACCCCAAGACACAAACCTAAGAGGGAAGTGAGAAGCAAGAATATTAGCTACTGTTAAAAATAGACAGTGACAGTGTGTTACAAATGTGATTGCTGATACAGTTATTAACGTCTTCACTGCTGTGTAGACATGTGTACTCTCCTGTATTCATTTGTTTTAGTAAGTACTTTATGGGACTTGCAACACAATTAGGTCAGCAAATGTGTCATGCTGTGTAAATGTATCATGTACTCTCCTGTGTTCATTTGTTTTAGTAAACATTTTACGGCATTTGCAACACAGTTAGGTCATATAAGTGCCAAAGATTAAAGGTGTTACAAGAGAGTAAGAGGATAAGGATGATAATTGTTTGAAAGGAGAGAGGAAGCAAGCCATACCAGAGCACCCGCCAACCATTCATGCTGCTATGTTCTCCATAACTGGTCTACTGACATGTTTTTCTGCTAGTTTATAAAGGATACTTTAGAACATTTATTTGCAACTTGTGTATTTTCTTATTCTCATATGGGAAAATACAATATGGCTTTGCTTAATTATTTTTTGAATGAACATTTTGTCTTGTCAGTACAAATGTAAAGGGAAACGCTTCAGCACTGAACAGGTTAATGTGTTCAGTGACCAGCAATCAAATATTACTCTCTAAAAAAGCCTCAATATTTGCTGTTATAACAAAAAATTCTTCATACATCAAAGTTATTTACACATTGGTTGAAGTGAGAAAAAAAGTACCTTCTTTCTCCAAATGTTTTTGAATGACGTATGTAGCAACTCGTGTCTTTCCTGAGCCAGTAGGAGCACATACGACAGTGTTGTAGCCCTTGACAGCCTCCTCCGCCAGCTCGAACTGATAGTCTCGCAGGCGAAGATCAGTTTCATGACCATCCACTCCTGAAAGGGATTAAATGGTTTCTCAAAACGCAAAGGATATATATGTGAGGCAGCGTGGTGAAATCAGGTGCTCATCAAAATAATGTAACCAAGGAATCTGGCATTTTTCTGGCTCTTGGGCATGTTTTTTTCTTCAAATTTTCTTGGTTTGGCTCAACATCTTTTATATCAATTTAAGAAAACATTTCTGTGTGGATTTTACTGAAAGACGTTGATGAAAGGTACAAAAATTGTAAATTTGCAGTTTCAAAGGACACCCAAACCTTGGAAATCACTAAACTTTGGTGGCCATTTTCTTGCTAATTTCACCTCTGACACCAGGTGACCTCCACCTCCATGCAAATATCTTGACTTCTTTTCGTTAAATGCTAGAAAAATGAACAAACTTTAAAACGATACAAATAACTCCATCTGCCCTCCCCAAAAAGGCGAGCACCTGCTTCCAGAGAGTCGTGACACATATACTTGTGTTATCATCGTATGATACTAGTATTTAAAAAAATATATATGTGAATGCCACTGCTCCTGAAACATAACAGATTTTGACATTCTGTATAGAAATCAGCCTTAAAACAGCCTCTGCCTGATGTTATTATGTTGGCCTATGTGATCTAACAGTAAGGAGAATATTGGTGACTTGTCTGGGAAGTTAAAGTTGCTGCCACTGAACATTTTTTGCATTTCTTTTAGGTAGAATATCGAAGAACCATTGCAAGGATGACAATCAATTTTCAAGCTGTTAGATGAGATTTTTATAATTCTTATTACAATGAATCTGTGTCTTTATGGTGCCTTTTAAAACATGAGCCTGCTCCTAGAGTCGATTAATCTCCTTCAAAAAGCAGAGTCAAGTCTAACTTCACAACATAACTTGATTAGAATACTCTGTATAAAAACAAAACACAATATTAGGACAAAAAACTATTTCACCTCCTTGAGCCTCATCATCATCAGAGAATCCAGCTTTAGTGTCCGATAGGTCCTCTCTTTCATCAAACTCATCTTCCTCCCTTATTTTTTCTATTTCGTTCCTATGTAGGGTTCCATTTTCCAGGAGCCGTTCGAAGGCCGGACTTTGAAACTCTTTCTCCGTCAATTTTATTTTGAAGAAATTATCACAAACTGAAACAAAGTATGAACATTGGAAACCTCAATGTTATTTCATTAAAAATATTTGCTCTGTAGGATCTATATAAAAAAAGGCAAGAAATGTGTAAGGAGCTGATGGAAGGTGGTGTCTTTCTGTTTACAGCTCTGGAGTCCTCATTACCATGTATTTGTAAATGTTTTATGCCTCTGTAGACACAATATACATAACTCAGGACAGCTGCTTTGATATTGTCAACCCAAGCTAAGAGGGATAAAACAGCTCAGCATAAAGACTGAGATACTCAATATAAAAAAATTGTTCATGCAAGACTCACATTTCTACCTTCTAAGTGAAACATGTTAACAGAGAAGAATCTAATAGCTTTTATACTACAGGTACTTAGGCTCTCAATGACTCTTAACTGCATTAGTAACAATTAAACATGCCATCATGAAACTTCATTGTGTCTTTCCAGTAAGTCCTGAATGGAAACATAAGTATTATAACATTTAGAAACACTGCGCTGATGTACACCCAACCAGTCCAAAGTTCGAGAGAAAATTTCTTTGAACGCTTCACAGTGAATAAAAAATTATGAAATAGACACACTGCATAACTGCAAGAAGGAAAGCTCTTAAAAGAGGTGGAATATTCTACAAGAAAAACAATGCTCAAAATTATACATATACCATAAATGACTTTGGTGCATCATTTCAGCATTTTTCCCTTTTCTTTATTTAAACAACTGAGAAAAAAAATCAGTTTCTGAAAAGACCTGTCTGAGTTTACAAGTATCATAATCTCATAAGGAACACAAATACTTTCAAAACAAAATGGAATGTACAGCTTTGAGCATTTTAGTCAGTATTCTAAGTTGGCTCAATACAGTTCAACCTGCCTTAAATAAAAACCTGTGTAAGATGGAAACCTATCATAACGGAATCTCCTCACTTCCCCCTTGATAAATTCCACTATAATACATCATCAAAGACAGAAACCTGCTCAACCCAGAATTGGAGGAGAAATCCCTTCCCTTTGCAGGGTTTTGACAAGTCAAAGACAGAAAATGCTTTGCCCGCTCAGACAAGTTCGGTTCCACTGGCTCTAACTTTCATGCCAGCCATGTCACCAGGCAAGGAAGGGAAGAAGGGATATGGTTTAGGGGTAACTGTTACCCCATCCACGTCAGCCGTGAGTAGTGCAGTTGATCAGGGTGGTGTGGGTGTGAAATCTCACCATTGCTTGCGAAAGTGCTTGAAAGGCACTCCAGTCTGAAAACTTTCCTGGGTGGCCAAAAGTGTGAAATTAATTTGACAACTGCCTGCCACCCCAATCATATGTCAAGCCAAGAAATAAGTTCCTCGAATCCTTTTTACAGGCAGGGAAGTGGTGGCATTGGCTGATTGGGGCATACTTTTTATGAATTTAGGTGTGTTACACAAAAAGATGTAAGATCGATCATAATGTCCTCATCCCATAAAGTATGTAGTCTTGATCACATTCCAACACCACCGTTCATCACACATCTTGACAGTGTTCTTGAGTTTATAACTTCCGTCATTAACGAGTCTCTTCAGTCTGGAGTGTTACCATCATCATTAAAGCAGGCTTTAGTTATCTCCCTACTTTAAAAAATAAAATCTTTGCCCCAACGAGCTCAAGAATTTAAGGCTTATCTCCAACCTTCCCTTTATATAAAGAAATTGTTTGACACTATAGATTACACTATTCTTTTACTGAAATTGGACGATTCTTTATCACGTTCGACCTGTCTGGTAGAGTTCTTCACTGGTTCTGTGGTTGCATATAACTCTTTCATCAATTTTCTAACTAGGTTTTGGAGTGACCCAAGGTTCAGTGTTGGATCCAATCTTGTAAATATATGTTAAATGCACAGTACTTGGAGCTCTGATTTGAAAACACAATAGGGGGAGGGAAGAGACGTTCAGTGGGCCAGCCTACATGAGCTTAGGGGGAATCAAGGGTCGCCTGTCTGGTCGGAAAATGGTAGTGAAAACTGCACACCTCCAAAGTGCTAAAGTGCTATCCTAGCCGCTCTGATATGCCATCTTTCATACAGGCTGGCCCAATGAATGTCTCTCCCCTCGCCCCCCCCCCCCCCCCCAACCTTCTCCCTAAATTTCCCTGTTCAGGATGGAAAATGTCTATTGGGGAATTTTTTCCTGGCTTCCGTGTCATTCCATCTCGGACAGGTTCGATCGATTGTAATTTGAACTATGATCCAACTGAAAGGAATACCACTTAAAGATGAATACTATAACCGACACAGCAAAGAAAACTACCATTGCTGTACATGCCATAACAATGAATCTGGGATAACAAGAGCATTATGCTGACATTGTCAAAACAAATAGATTGAGTCACACATGCTAATTTACTCTTCATTTACAATTTAAGGTAAAGAGTACTTATAAAATGCTTACATTCTTCCATCCCCTCACTTGCTTCTGCCATTTTTGGGCCAAAGGTAAGGTAGCTGAAAAAGAATGTAAGGTTTTTCTTTAAAGCATAAACATAAAATATGAAGTGGGATGGATGGTGACCATGCCTTAATTACCATGAAATTACTCTGTGGAAAAACAGTGAGACTCCATACATCACAGAGAGCAGCACATACAATTTACAATGTGTACCATGGCTCATGCATGATAAGATGCAACAACTAGTGTCTTGGTTTCCCATATTTAAAACAGCATACAATTATGGAAGTGTCACAGAAAAACAAGCAAACACACTTGTATATATTATGTACACATAACACACCAAAACAAATTTCATACACTCAAATGCACAAAAAATAGGCACATAATTTATTGCCTCGTTTCTGAACCTAGCACGACTCATTTACAAGAAAGAAACATGGACCAACATGAATGCTGTTTTACCCGGCATAAAAGTTTCCCTAATAAGTACAGATTTTGACTTCCAAATCTTTGCAGGTTTTGTAGCTTACAGCTCCAGGGTCTGATTACAAATAAAAGCACAATACTGTCAAAATAAATAGTTAATAAAACATTTTGGCATCTCAATTTTAGTAGAGGTTAAAGTTTTACGGCACTTGCAACACTATAAGGTGAAACAAGTGCCGAAGATAAGAGGTGTTACTGTTACAAGCGAGTAACAAACACAAAAAAGAGGAGAAATAAGGACAGCAGATGATAGATGAGCAAACCATACCAGAGCACAGCCAACACTCATTTGGCATTTCTAGGAAAATATGGTTTAGTTGGTTTCAATGACAGCAACTGCGACAGTGATGGAATAATCATCTTGATCAATACCGGTTCTGAACAATTTTGGCCAGGGACTGGTCTGGAAAGGCTGGTTAAATTCTAAACATTTTAAAATCTGACTTGACTCCCTGGCACCCAAAAAATTACAAAATTTAGGTTAATTATTTTTATAAACAAAAGTTGTTTGATAAATCGGGCTAATTACAGCCCAGGAGCAAAATAAAACGAAATAATGTGTTTATTTTATTTTGTACTTTTGGGGACATAATCAGAGAAATACACATATATTTACTGTCCTTCCCGCCTTGGATTGATGCAGTAGCCTACTTTAAAGGATCAAACCACCATGCATCTCTTTGGCTGCAAAATACATATTATTACGGCCACTAAAACTGTTGCAAACCAATTAATTGCTTCCATGAAAATTAAAAACCTTATCACAGAATGTCAAATTACGCGGAAATACTGGAGGGGACACGAGGGGCACGCCCCCCCCCCCACCCCCCTGAAACCATCACAATTTTTAAATGAAGTCCAAAGTATAGGATAGTCAAGTAATATAGTTTGAATAAAAACCATCAACTATTTCAAAAACTAATAGTTTCGTGTAAAATATTAAAATGAGCAAGAAAAGTGCACCTGAGCATGAAACGGGAGTGAAAGTGAAATAATGCCCAGGTACAAAATAATTAAGCTTGTTCACTTTCATATGACCGCGTTGAAAACATTCTTGCTCATTTAGGATTTTACCTAAGCCCACAAAACTTTGCATGGCACTTCTTCAGGCCAGCGAACAAACAAAATTTTTCTCGCTAAAAATCTTGATCCACTTATTAAAAAGTTCTTGGATATTGGATGCACACACATGATCACTAGGAAAAACGACTACAGTAACCTTGTCTACAAATTGCTCATTTTGAGACAGCAACACCGCCCTGCCCCCACATTGTAGTAAAAGCTTGTGTAAATTTAATCCCCCAGCTGTCTAGACGTCACCACATGAGTCTTGAACTCATCCCATCTCTTGAATTGCAGTGTTTCTTAGGCAAATGTTAAAGTGTGGTGTTGAGAAAAATATGTCAGCTTTAAGATGTTTTAGGTGTAGATTCTATGCTGTAAATCCCCTATTATTTTTTTAACCCATTTTAGGCTAGGAAGTGGTTATTCTCACTCCATGAAATTTGGCTCTTTTGGATCGTGTCTGGCCCGGAGAATTTCTTTTGGCTCCAAATTCCAAATGTTCAAGATGAAGGGGAAAGGAGAGGGGGAAAAAAAGAAAAGAAAAAAGAAATAATATTATAAAAGAAAAAAAAAAGGAAATGAAGAAAAGAGCTTGGATTGCTTGATTATAATTAAGAAAATATGTCAACTTTAAAATGTTTTAGGTATATGCTGTAAATCCCCTATTATTTTTTTTTACCCACTTTTGGCTCAAGCAAGTGGTTATTCTCACCCGGGGTGAGAATAACCCATGACTCGCTATTCTCACCCCTTTGTTTTACCGGAAATAACCCTAGAGGAATATCAGATCAGGGCTGAGGTTACTGGAATTACCGCGCGCGGGGGCGGGTGTGTGTGTGTGTGTGTGTGTGTGTGTGTGTGTGTGTGTGTGTGTGTGTGTGTGTGTGTGTGTGTGTTTTGTCAGGGCTGATGCTCCACAGGATCGTGTCAGTTAGGTTTGTCAGTTTGGAGCCAAATCCCAGAAATTTGGCTCTTTTGGATCATGTCTGGCCCGTGGAATTTCATTTGGCTCTCGGGCTCTTTTTTGGCTCCAAACTCCAAATGTTCAAGAAAAAGGGGAAAGGAGAGGCAAGAAAAAAGAAAGAATATAAAATTTAAAAAAAATAAAAGCGAAGAAAAGAGCTTGGACTTAATAATTATTAAACTAGTTAAAACAAGATTTAGATCTCTAGATAATGCCCTCGCCCATTTGGTCTGAATAATTTACAACCCTTCTACCATCGTGCAAGAGCAAAGTCTCATTCTCGTGTCTCGTTACGTTTGTACAGGCTGTCTGTTCCTTGAACCAAAATTTATTGTGTTCAGGCAGAGAGGCCTGCCATCGTTAAGTGTGTAAATAACAAATGGTGCGACTGGTCCCACATCCCGTGCAGTAGCGTCGGTAGTGAGACATATTTTTTACTGGAGAGGCGAAAATGTTTTTACATTATTATTATTGTATTTGTTGTTCATTAATTAAAGATTTAATTAAGCAAAGATCTGGTTAAGATAATCATATTATTATCTGTTTCAAAAGTCTGCATCGTATATCCCATCCTGACTTTAATTCTATAAGAGCGCTCCTTCATCTCATGGGATGGAACGCTTGAAGCAGGCCGAACTTTGGCCGCGCTATTACATTAAAAAAAATATAGAGATCAACACCACTGTCAATGTCCAGGGGGGAGAGGGGGTGAGAATAGCGAGTCATAGGCTATTCTCACCAGGGATGAGAATATAGGCGGCTTTTAGGCTTATATAAAAGATAATTACGTTTCAGAACTTCAGAGTGAGCTTTATGAATGGGCTTTCAGATTCTGTTGGTCAACCAACTTTCAGACCCTTATGCACAGATCTGAGAAGATTGAACTGAGCGATTTCATTTTATCTTACAATTAACCGCAGTCAAACGAAAATGAACAATAATGGGTCAGGTATTGAGATTCTAGACAGTGTCCATATATAAATTCCTAACAATTAAACAAACAAGTAAGTTTTGGGTAAAACTTTAATTTAATTCCCTGCTTGCAAATGCACTGCTTCTCGGGCTTAACTGCTATATTTTTGGCTGCACATACAACATATAAAAACCATAGCAAATCAATTGTTTTCAAGAAAATCTCACTCCTCAAAACATTATAAATTACTTTGTCCCTCTAAAACACCCAAGATTTTTTTAAACGGGTGAAATATTACAACTCAAATAGGCCTTCTATTATAATTTAATTTGAATGAAAACATAGGGGCCTATCTGATAACACTTTAGTGACTGATATTATAAAGTCGAAATTCGTGTGAAACTTAAAAATGAATGAGAAATTCAATGTATAATATCCGAACATAAGACATGATAAGATGGGTGTGAAAGTAAAACAATACCAGGTTCAGTAGGTCATTATTTTATAACTATTAATGTTAGCCTAGATCTATGCAGGAATCTGGAATGTCATAAATCAACTGATCTTTAGGAGCATTGGGGTCATATACTCACTAAAAATGAAAGCTTCGTTTAGGGGGAACGTCCACTACCAGTTAAAATACACCGGTTTTAGTCAGTGACGACAGTGACGTATTCATATTGGCCAGCTTCAAGTGTTTCATCCCATGAGATGAATGAAAATGAAGCACCCTGACAGAATTAAAGTCGGGATATATGGGATATATAGAAATTGGATATGGTACAAGGGAAACAAGAGGTGAGAGATGGGAAACAGAAGGTGGGATTTGGAAGATGGGACTGGTCATAAAATGTGTACAATAATGACTATTGCAGCGGGTCAGCCTGGGAACCGACGCAGAGAGAAAATGACGGGAATCAATAGTTCTTATTATAATAACAAACACCCTCTCTCTCTCTTTCTGTCTCTCTCTCCCCTTTCTCTTTCCCCTCCCCCCTCTCTCCTCTCTCCATTTTTCTCTGTCTCTCCCTCCCTCTCCCCCCCCCCACCTTCTCTCTCTCTCTCTCTGATCCCTCCCTCTCTCTCTCTCCCTCTTTTTCACACACACACACACACCCACACACTGCGCGCAGACAAAATTGCACGCTTTCAACTCGAGAGCGCTGGAATGTTTGTTTACACTCATATATCACGGGCCGTCACGCGCTAACACAAGGTCACGCCCAAGTCTCGCCCGGAAACGAGATAGGGCAATTGAAACATCTTGAAAGGCATGTATACATTTTAGTCATATTCCTAAACCGTTGTTGCGTAATTGAGAGTTTGTCGTTTTCCCGCCTTACACTGGCGAGCTCTGAGCCAGAGCTCAGTGTAAGGGAAAACGACGAATGGTCGATCGGTCAAGGATCACTGCTTCGTTTTCCTTCATCTCATGGGATGGAACGCTTGAAGCAGACCAAAATATTAAATATACGTCACTGTCGTCACTGACTAAAACCAGCTTACTAAAACTGGCAGTGAACGCTCCATCTAAACAAAGCTTGAGTGCCGTGAACGTAGCCTCAACAGCGCCTGCAAACTGCTGGCAGACTAAGTTCATGGCACAGTGAATGTGACTACGTTCACGAAACAGTGAACGTAGCCACTGCGAAAAATGAAACAAAAAAACCTTTGTAAACTGAACAATTATTAAGACATGTAACTGCCTACTCACCACACTGACCACAGTTGATAAAATTGCACAAAATTTTGATGTTCTCTCGATTTGAAGCGGGAGAGCCTAGTTGGCAGGCTATTCTATAGTCTAGTCTATAGCTGCAGGCTGTTCACTGTTGAGGAGAACAAGACACAAGCCAAGGTCTCCTAGGCTGCTAGTAGGCCTACCAAACTGGAAGGAATCTTCTTCCAATTCTAACTAAAACTTAAAAACGCCCCACTGTCAAAAACTGAAACTGAAACTGAAACTAAAACACGGCAACCAAACATCATCAGGTTATCGATCATGTGATTGTGAGGACTGATAGATTGATTGTGTGCTGCTTTTTCGGTAGTTCCCACCCCCCTTATTTGAGCCTGACCTACATCTAGATCTAGATCTAGATCTATACGTTTGATTCGCGGTAAGCTAAGATATCAAACCTAACAACAGCAAAACATTAAATTGTGGTAAAATTCAGGGGGGCATGCCCCCCCTCCCCCTGAAACCCCCCTACTCTTGGGGCCAAAAGTCTGAATTTCGGACTAAAAAGACCTTATATGGATCAATGCCCCAAAATGTAAAGTCGTCATATTCGAAACAATTAAGTACACTAGGCCTATTATGAAATGTAGGCTTATCTCTAGATCTAATATCTAGATATCTAAATCAAAAGTAAAAGCTAGACAAGACGTTACTAAACAGGATAATTCAGTCAAAACTTACAAGATCTGGTCCTATGCCTATTGACACTATTGTTGGACTGGCGTTCTTCTTTGGTTCCAATTTCCAATGGATGATTGATCACTCAAAAGTACCGTTTCATTGATATATTATATATAGATATCTAGATCTAGATCTCTAGGCTATCGTAATTCCACGTCTTTTGGTGTTTCGGCGAGTGTTTTTCGACAAACTGCTTCAAAGTTTTGTAGGCAAGACAAGGCTTCCTGTAACACTACCACTTCCTGGAATTTAGATCATCTAAAAATAAACGACGGTAAATTCCCACTTTTTTTGTGGTGTGGGGCCAACAATATCACAATTTGGGGCCAAACTTGATTTTTTGGGGCCAAACCATACTTACCCCCCCCCCCCCCCCTCCAAAACTCATCGGATTTCGGCCATTGTATTTAACCCCCCCCTCCCCCCATCTTTGTGAATAAAATAAATAAATATTCAACCAAATTAGATCTAAATAACATTAGTAAATCAATTATAAGTATGATTGATTACGGTACGATACCTGACCCTTTTCAGTCATCAGTGCACGCTACTGTTCATCCTGTCACTGTCAGTGGTCATGCCTTGGTTCCTTCATGGGGACGACTCACTGAACAAAGCTAAATTAATGTTTGTGAGCTGTCTTGACGCTAGAATCCTCTGCAAGATCCACAATGTAAACACGACTTTCTTGATCAGCCATTATTCCACGCAGCCGCTCTCTTCACTGCCAACCATTTGGGACTAATAAATGCTTTTTTTGTGTGTGGCAAAAATCTCGTTGCTTTTATTTTATTTCATTTGTTTTTTCTTTTGGGGGTTGGGGGGGGGATCTAAAATGGGTCAAATTGGGGCCAACCGGGCCAACTATTTTTGGGGGGGCCAGTCATGATCCCAAAGAACCAAATTTGAGCAATTTGGGGCCAAACTGGCAGCCCTGACTGACACTCACAAAGATAGAACATGAATGATTTGTTGTGTGAATTGAATTTTATTTTCCAATTGTTTTTCCACGAAGAAAGTGGCTATTCTCACCCGCCCGGAAGTTCTCGCAAGATCAACTCCTCCCCTCTTCTTTCTCTCTCTGTCTCTTTCTGAATACTGTCTATCGGTGTGGACGATCAAATTGACCAAAACAAAGTTAAAAAATGATGTTAAAACACAAAAGTAAATAAATTTGGTTGTCTACAAAGATGCTACGGCTATTTAACTTTTCGAATCGAGCCGAACTACGCGGGTCGCCATTTTGTTTTGCCCGGAAATTCTCGCGCTACTCCTCTCTCTCTTTCTCTCTCTCTCTCCACTGCCCACAGACAAAATTGTACGCTTTTAGTAGGCTACAGTTGTAATGGAACGTTTGTTCACGGCACAGAATTCTACAATTTTTCCTCACAGTGTAGAATTCTATGGTTTAGGGTGAACGCAAAATTTGGTGAACGCGCACCGGGTGAGAATAGCCACAAGACTCGCCTGCACTATTTTCACTCCGGGTGAGAATAGAGGTGGCCTTTAACGAAAGAACATTCATTCATTGTTGAAATTTGGCTGAGTAATTTTTATAGTACATGCAGGCAGACCTTAGCCTATGCCTACTTGTATGCCGATGATATTAGGATAGGGCTTACTCTTATTGTTTCTGTTTTTGTTTTTGTTATCATCATCATCATCATCATCATCATCATCATCATCATCATCATCATCATCATCATCATCATCATCATCATCATCATCATCATCGTTGTTGTTGTTGTTGTTGCTATTATTATTATTATTATTATTATTATTACTATTATTATTATTATAAAAGAATGACTGTATCGTCTTCATCTGCAGGTCTTTATTGAATTAGCCATTGGGTCTGGCGAATCGCGGCGCGTCGTCATGGCTAATGGGTACCTCGGTAGCTTACAGGCTAGATAGATCTACATATCATTGTACATGTATTATTATTATTATTATTATTATTATTATTATTATTATTATTATTATTATTATTATTATTATTATTATTATTCTGTTTATGTTTCTCTGCTCATTTCTCTGCTGAGATGCTTAAAAGAAGCAACAAACAAACAGAACAAAACAACAACTCCCCCCCCCCCCCCACAATTCCCAGCGATGTTTTTCTAGCCTTTCCTCCCGGACACCAGAGACACTAAAATATAATTAAATACTCTCTGCGGACACCCATTTGTTCAATTAATCTTGGAAAGTACATTGGGGTTTTTGTTCTACCCCTGTCTCTTTCGCCGTCAGATCTATTATCCGGTAGGCTAAGAGCATAATGTGCGATGCCTATATTACATCGATTCAAGTATTCAGCGTTCTTACGAATCATCCGCTCCGAAGTCCAGCATGCTACCATCCGGGGGGAGTGGGGGGGGGGGGGGGGTGCTTTAATTCTATTAGGGGAGATCGACTTTGACGTCATTGTGTGGTACATGTATAATCAGCTATAGTAAGGAATACAGCTGAATGAGGCAGGTTGTATGTCATCTTGATTTTCGATAACTGCTGGAGCTCTGTGGGAGCCACAAGTTGGAGTTAGGGAGCTTTTTTCTCGCGGAATTCCAAAAGTAAGACACACATACACACCCACACACGCACACACACATACACACACACACACACACACACACACACACACACACTCTCTCTCTCTCTCTCTCTCTCTCTCTCTCTCTCTCTCTCTTTCACACACACACACACACACACACACACACACACACACACAC